TAAACCTAAAAATTCAGTTTATAAAATATAAAATTTGATTGAATCCCAATTTTTTATAGTAAATTGATGCCAAATCAAGCTAGTCAGTCATTTAAACGTGTGTCAAACCTACCAAAGTAACAAACTCTAGCGACACATCTTCTCAGAAACGTCCATCAAAAAGGCAATTTCAAACTGCCAATTTTATTATCTCCCATCAATTATCCTACCATGAATATTAAAAAAGCATATCCATGTCCAAATATTGTGGCTTAATAAAAGACAACAGCGGGAAATTGTATGAATGTGTATGTGTGTGGATTAAATAAAAGAGTAAAATGCCCATGTTGGTGAATGAGGAAAAAAAATATTAATCAAATTGTAATTGAATTTTTTTCATCTCCATCATCATTATGATTGTCGTTGTCGTGAGTGTTATTCATATTTTGTATTGAATTGATGGTAAATTGATTCGTTTGATGAAACAAATTAATTTTTTATGAATATTTTATTTCAATTTTAAATGGAGAGTTTTAATGTTATATTATTGGATATTACTGGAATTGAAGTTATTACTGTGATGAGTTTTTAACATTCTTCAATGGAATTGGCTTTGCTATTAGCTTTTGAATACTTTATTGGGGGATTAAAAGAGATTTTGTTTTAGAATTGATGTTGATGGCTTGAGTTGGATGCTTAACATCTTTACCAGATGTTGGAACTCTTCTGAACGACCCCGAGCCCTAAAACACTTGCTACACCATCAATTCAACTCAAATCTTCACAAATCTATTGTATTCACCGCTAAATGACCTAAAACATGCACTAATCTCCTCCATTAACAATAAACTGTCCAAAAAGCTCAAAATCTAAACATTCTCATCATTATAAATTGTCAAATTGTTTTTAAATCACAACAGATTCCAATTCCTCCTTATTATCCAAAATTAACCCAAAACCAAGACTTCATTAACTCTTTTTTTTTTCTGTCGCAGTGCTTAAACTTTCCATAAAGAAACAATCTTGAAAACCAATTTATGTGATGGGAATCTCATAAAATGCTTCCATTGCTTTGAATAGATTGCTATTTAATGCTCCTCAAATTCATGAGCACTTAAATCTTCATTAAATTGAAGTTTTATTCTCCTATTCTGCTCATGGAGCAATTTCAAAGATTACAGCAACTACACTTAACTGTAATTGGACGCAAATTTTATTGTTACACAAGATTTTGTATTTATTTCATAGTTTTCTTATTCTTTCAGCCATTTTTTTGTGCTTTTTGATGATGCTTTAAGTGCTTTGGGTTTATGTTCATTTATAGCTTTGAATTGCAATAAGGCTGTTTAAGAGTCTTAGTCCTTTGGGGTGATTTTGGAAGAAAGTTGCAATTTATTGTGATACTTTGTAAAATTGAGTGAAACTGAGCAAAACTAAACAAAACTGAGCAAAAAATAAGGAAAACTCAGTAAAATTAAGCAAAACTTATCAACAAATAAGCAAAACTGAGCACAACTAAGCAAAATTGAGCAACAAATAAGCAAAAAAGAGCAATATCAAGCAGAGCTGAATGAAATTTAGCAACATTGAGTAAAACTGAGCAACCAGTGAGCAAAACTGAGCAGTAAGCTAAAAAAATGGACAGAACTAGCAAAAAATGAGCAACAAGTGAACGAAACTGAGCAACAAGCTAGAAAAAATGGGGACAACTAGCAAAACTGAGCAACAAGTGAGCAAAACTAAGCAAAACTGAGCAACTAGTAAGCAAAACTGAGTAATATTAAGCAAAACTGAGCGAAAAAATAAAATTGAACAAAAAGTGGGCAACAAGTGAGCAAAACTGAGCAAAACAGAGTGAGATTAAGCCATAATTGACTAGTGCACTAGCAGAAAAATCTAAAACAATCTCAACCACAAAATCCTCCCAAAATTATCCTACAAGACACCACACTGAGTGTGATTTTAATGCTCACACAATAAAGTTACAATTTTATATCCAGCACATGCATAAAATGACAAAATTTATGCTTGACAATTCGCCATGATCTTTAAAAGGATTCTGAAAGAGGCTTTTACATTTTATTGACGGCATTAATTTTTTTTTCTTCTTCATTTGGTATTTTTGGATAAGGTTATAAACTGAACGATTTGATGGACAAAATATTTTCTTTTTTTGGGTGGGGGATATTAAGTGAGATGTTATTGGGATTCAAGTCGTTTTCAACGATTAATATTTGATGATGTCTTATTTTTGGATGGTGTTCAAAATTGGATGTTTTGATTAGCTTTAGGATTTGAACTTGGGAATTGAAGGATTTGAACCCAAGTATCAATGACTGTTGAACTGCCTAGGGGTGAGGATGGTGTCCATGTTAGGCCTATGTTATTAAAGAAATCAATGTTCATCAAGAAGCACACGCAGCAGAATCATCCCGTACCAAACTAATAGCAATGTAACAATGTATCCCAAACCATACCCATCAATTATATAAATCTGACCACAAAATTAAATATTTACAGCACATGCCATAAGATAACCTTCACCCTTAACTGCAATAATGTAATGAAAGTTCCAGCCTGCTAGCCACCTTTCACAGAATTATTATCACATTTTAAAACTTTGCAGATGATCTTTGATGTGCAACAATTTGACTACAAAATATCATTCAACAGCGGTTTAATGGATGGTTGAAGATTTTTGTGGAAATTGGATATTAAACGTACAATCATCATCATCCATAATATTCATCATCATTATCATTTTGGATCTTTTATTTTATTTTTGTTGAAGTGCTTGCAATATTGTAATATTAAATGTGATTTGGTTGTAGTTCAGTGGAGAACGACTGTAAAGTGAGATGGAGAGAAAATTTAATTTAAATCCATTGAAAATTGGAAAAAAAGACTCGAAAACATGATTTTTAATGACGAGGCATTTATGAGCGAAAAAGGCAAAATTGAAAAACGTGATCTTTATGCAAATTGTTGACTTTTGCAATCTTTTTTCTTTTCCACTCGATTTTCCTGTTGCTTTATGGATAATAGATAGTTTGAATTGAATGGCGGATAAAATGTTGGAATTAATGGGTCTCGATTTCAAATGGTTTACGATTATTTTTTTTTTTTTCTTTAATAATGTCTGGAAATTAATTTTTATGTATTCAATAATTGAGAAATGCTTGATTGGATATTTACAATATGCTTTATGAGTTTTTTTAGGTTAACTGTCTGGAGGTTTTAAATTGGAATTATGAACGGATACTTTGTGATGTTAAGAATGCATCTTTAGAAGATGACCTCTAGTTTGAGGCACATATAGAATTTTACAGCTTAGATCAGTGTTGCACAAACTTTTTGAACCACGGGACATCTTCCATGACCAAATTCGCACACAGTATTCTGTTCGCGTCATTTCCACTAAAATTATATAGTCCACTAATGTGCCGAGGCACACAGTTTGGACAAGAGTCGATACATGTCGCCTGTCACAGGTGACAGTTCTGTCACAGGCACAGATGTGTCAAATCTGCATACAGATGTAACAGATCTGTCAAATCTGCCCACAGATATAACAGATCTGTAATCTGCACGCAGATATAGCAGATCTGTGATTGATCTATGTCTGCAACAGACAAAAAATTATTGTCTGTCACAAGCACTGCAACAGGTAAGAGACAGGTGATTGCCTGACACAGATCGCAACTCTGGTTTGGACAACACTGGCTTAGATCATCACTATAAACTTACTGACCGGAACGAGCGTTGCGATACAGGCAGCTGTGCACAGGTGAGAGCCTTACAATACCTTGATAATTTATAAGGTTTTTTTTACAAAACTATACAAATTCTAATAAAACCTTAGAAATTATCAAGGAATTGTACGGTTCTCACCTGTGAACAGGAGCCTGTATCACCACCCTAACCGGAATTTTACTTTTTCGTGAAAAAATCTTAGATGCAGCAATACTGGTTGCCAGTGTGGAGCAAAAATGTAAACTGATGATTTATTGCACCACAATATAAAAAGTTGAGAAACACTGCAACTAGAGGTTAGACCTGACCTTAGAAATGATTTTTAGATTAGCAACTTGTTGTTTTTATTCCAGATTGTTACATAATTGATAGACCAACATCCAATATATATATATAAATTAAGTACCTCTATGCAAATCATCTCAAATGAATCACATAATCTACCTTCAAAAAGTTCATTACCGATTTAATTTTCCAGATTAAATTCAATCAGATTTCCCCAATTTATTCATAGTCTGTTAGTGAACTACATACTCATGTAATTTGCATGTTTCTATATTTTTTTGTCATTCATGCCACACATTAGTCTATGCGCATGCTATGATAACTTCCGTAAAAAAAATTAATTGTTCTCATTCAGTTGTTCATGCATTTCATTAGAAATGTAAATAAAAAAAAAGTTGAATATTTTTGAGAGAGAAAATAAACAAACTGTTGTGTTCAGTGGCGTCACATGTCATCCAGAACATCTGATAGTTCTGCATTTTCAGAAGAGAATCAACATAAAAGTCTACCATAAGAGAGAGAATGAGCACTGAGGAAACACGCTTGAGGTCTCATGACGTCATTATTAATTTTCACATACACGAAACAAGGCACAAAGTTGTATAATTAAGGGGGAAATATAAGCACATACAATCCACTTCTGTACACTTGCTTGTGTCTGTGTTACACATTCTGTAATCATTGTCATTTAAAGTATATTCTTGTCCATCACACATGACACAATGTTTCTCGTCTAACAATCCATAAAGCACAACGATCAATTCTCGTAATCTCATTCACGTATGCATCCCACATACAGTGACATTATAGAAATTCTTCAACTCTAATTAGATTCGCAGTGCTCAGTTTAAAATGTAAAATTGTTCGCGTTGGACGTTCTTTTTTTTTATTTGTTGACATCAAATTATACACTTTTAAGTAATTGAAATTAATTGAAGGAATTTTTCGTATTTAAATTCTCTCGTCAAGTCTTTGCGACTGAGAAACATTATGAGAACATCTTTGATCTTATCAGTGAATTTTGAAGATCTATGAGATGAAGATTGAAGGAATATCGCGTGCAATAATTGTGATTATTTTTATTAATGTCAATCTTTTGGAGTGTCAAGATGTTAGTGTTCGCGTGAAGCAAGGAACTATCGTTGGGGTAGGTTGGAGTTCTATTGTGTAGTGGAAGTGAATTTGGGATTAGTTTGAGTTGATTGTGTTCTTTAGTACAACTTTACTATTAAAGATGGAAGTGCTTTGTCCATAAAACACAATCTTAAGGATTATTGTGATTTATTTTGACTTAATGGACATTCAAATCAGTGTGATTTCTTCAACATGATCAAAAAAATCATCAAAAATGACCTTAACAAGTTGGATCAGTTCGATACTCTTGAATCATGTGATCTAATATGCATTTGAGAACTTAGTCTCTGGTAGGATTCGAACAAGAACTTCTTCAATGAATGGATTGCAAATTTTGTTCTTGCTACTTCGCCCCTCAGCCACAGAAGTATTTTTGGAGCGCTGTCAAAATATCCTTTAAATGCATCGACATCCTCAGATTCCACTTTATTGTACTAGTATAGTAAAAAGTTTGATATGTCAAAGAAACCCGAATATAAATCCAGCACCAGCTGCTATGGTGCTAGCTTCGATATAAATGCAGCACCATGCCGGAGTCACAGGGGCGTAGCCAGAAATTTGAAGACGGGGGGGGGGACAAATTTTTTTTGTATGGAAAAATTTAAGGGGGGGGGGTTGTGATTTTTTCATAAAAACCCTAGAAAAATAAAGAAATTTCTGTTTACGTTGGGGGATTTTTTCTCCAAATACCCCCCCCCCCCCCCCCCGGCTAGGCCTGCAGAGTCACACGGGTCAGGTGTGCCATTCGGGAAACCAACTGAACCATTTTGTTTCTGATTTTCCAACCTCGTCATGTAACACTAGTTTTTAAAATCTAAATTTCCACAATAACAACCCATCCTGGTCAACAAACTCACTTCCCTCAACAACTCATCGTAAAAAAAAGCTCATTTTAAACTTCACACCAATTCATTTCCATAAAATCAAATCTTTTCCATCAATTTAATTTCATTATTATTCTTCAATTTGATCTAAACTAGCTGAAAATATTTCCCGAAGCATCACGCATTCCAATTTATACGTACTTAGGTGTTCCGTATGCGGAACCAACAATTGGCGCAAATCGTTTTGTAGCACCACGATCGCCAGAAGTATGGAATCGAACATATTATGCGCGTGATTTTAAGCCATTATGTCCACAACTTGAGAGTTTGATGGAATCAGGAGAGGGTCGATACCGAAGATCGTCTGAGGATTGTTTGTATTTGAACATGTGGGTACCGGAGACAGCTATGAAAATTGGTGGATTTCCAATATTAATAGTCATAACAGGAGAAGATTCTTATGACTGGTCAACAAACAGAATATCAGGCCTTGACATGGCAGCTGAAGGAATGATTGTCATCACCATCCAGTACCGTACAAATGTCTTTGGATGGCTATCACTCGACAACATTATTAGTCCAGGAAATCTCGGTATTATGGATCAACTGATGGCATTCAAATGGATAGATGAGAACATTAATAAATTTGGTGGTGACATGAATAATGTTACATTACTCGGTCACGGTTCGATGGGTGTTTTCAACAGCTTTTATCATTTATTGTCGCCAAAAACTAAACGTAAAATTATTTTTTTAAGCTAGTCGGAATTGCCATTGATATATTGTGCTTGTTTTTTTTTTTACAAACTTTAGGAATTTTCTCAAGGGCAATTTTAATGTCTGGCAGCCTCTTTGCACCAAATCCAATTAATCATGATGCATCTGGTGACTTTGTAAGGTTATTGACATGCGATTCTATTGACTTTCAAATTATGTTGAAATGTCTACAGTCGAAAAGCTACGAGGAACTGCTGAAAGCTTATGAAAGCATCATCAGAAATGAGAAACGTGTCAATCGCTTCTTTGGACCTTTGGCTGATGACTTCATCGATGACATTGAAAGTCGTGTATTTTTGGGAGACCCATTTCGCCTCATTACAGAGTTTAATTACACAATTGATATTCCAGTTTTAATTGGAATCACTAGCAATGAAGGCGCATTTGTTGATGGTTTGTATGACATTGAGAGAAAATTTTTATATTTTTTTATTGTGACTGTTTGTTGTGATTTGATGTGATGATAAGCTATTATATTTTTATGAAATATTTTTCATGGACATGCTTTTTTGTTGTACAGACGTGATGCTTGCTTATGGAAAAGAGGGGTACAAAAAGTTTAGGAACTTTATTGACGACTTTGTCGTTCCTAATATGCTGAAGAAGTCACATTTTGAAGTTTTTGATAAGAAGCAGGTGAGCATTGTAGGATAAAGATTTTCCCGAGCAGCACATGATTGCACTGAGAGTCATAACGCTCCAAGATGACAAATAAGTTATTTATTCAAGTGACTGGAGCATTATAGCTCATATTATCGCTACTGATATCATGTGTTGCTCGGAAAAAAGAAGAAGTATGAGTAAGGTCCGAAAAATGTGAGATATAGTCATTGATCTTGTCTTTAGCCATCATCCTACCAGAAATAACTTCAAAATTGACCCCCAAAAAAATCCCCATTTTCAGATCAAAGACGCCATCAACTGGCACTACTTCCAACAATACCCCAAAACAACATCTCATCTCCTCAACTCAGTCATCAAACTATCAACAGAAATTGCATACGAACTTCCGCTATTCAAGACAATTGAACTGTTGACAACACCAACTGAATTGCAATCAAATTACAATATTGTTCAAAGTGAAAATAATTTTTCGACAGTCGTTGAAATCAAAAGTGTCAGAAGCGGAAAGCAAACTGATTTTTCAACAATTGGACGACAACAAAAGAGTGTCAACAATAATTTATATGTGTACGTTTTTCATCATTCAAATGCGATGGATATGCGAGGAAGTATAAATTATTTTGGCGGTAAGAGGAACATGCTAAATGGATTTATATTTAAATGACGTTGTTTATTTTTTGAATATTCAGGCGCACAGCATAGCTCTGACTTGCCTTTTTTGTTTGGACCGAGTTTGTTTAAGCAGATCAGCAGGCGAAGATTGTCACAGACTGAAGAGAAGTTGTGTAAGAAGTTTAAGCAGTTGTTTGGGGATTTCATAAAGACTGGGTGAGTAACATGACTTGGAGTAGCTAGAATTAAGGCTGATAACTTTTAACATCCTCAATTTATAAATCCTCAAATATATTCCCCAGAAATCCCACCCCAGAACGTCCATTTGATGCCTGGCATCCATACAACACAAACTCAAAATACATCAAAATTCTTGGCACTAAAATCGACAATCTGCTTCATAATCGCATCCTCAAAGACTCTTCATTCGAGCAAAATCATGAAAAAATTGAAGACTTGCTGTCAACAGACACAGAAGAGAAGCTTCAAGTTGTATCAAATGTCAATACACCACCAAGCTATCAAAACAATCCTTATCATTTGAGTAGCGTCAATCATGGATATGATGAAAGCACTCGAGGTGTTCGACAGTTTGATGCTAATCAGAGCAATACAGCTGGAAAGAATACAGATTATTACTTCTATTTGAGGAGGATTTATGCATTTTGGTATGAATATTTACCAACTTTGTATAAGAATTATCAAGATAGAACAGGAAGAGCTAGTAGCGAGCAGGATCGATTTTCTGAAGGTTTGATGATTTTTAAAATAATTTTTTCGACTTCCTTGATTAAAAAATTCCTAAAATTCCAGCAAATCCAAAATATAAACACGCATTCTTCTCAATGTTGACCCTTGTGTGTCTCCTTCTCGCCATTCTCGGTCTTTGTGTCTATCTCCTTAAGAAGAACAACCACAGCTTATCATCAGCATCAACAATCTTATGACAAAAGTTCATGTTTCGATCGAAAATCTTAATAGATCGAAGACGAAAAAGACGGGATGAAAATGACTCACATGACGGTCATTCAACGGTAACCAAAGATAAAATAACCAAAATTCAAACAATTGACGGCAATAATAATAATAAAAATGTTAGTAGCACGAATAATGATGTTAGCTATCGACAGCAAATTAGCATAAGTAGATTAAGGATGAATAATAATAGTAATTTTGATTTCATTGAGTCATGTGATATTGCAGATGAATTAAATAATGAGGTTGATAGTCTTGATAGTTTAGAAATTAAGAATTGGAGATATCACTTAACAAATAATCGATTTTGATTGAGCTCAAAAATTTGGATTTTTAAAGTTAATTTGTAGAGTTCTGGATTTTGAATTGGGTGGGTTTACTTCAAAAAGATTGGGTTTGAATAAATTTGATTGATGTTATTTAAGGAGCAGTTCACTTATGACGTCCAGGGGGGGGGGGGGGGGTCAATAAGAAAAGAATAATAGAAATTCCTGGAAATCCATTGTTCTTTTTTTGAAAAATGACCGTTAATTTCGGAAGACATAAGTGAACGATCCTTTATTAACTTAAGAATTTGAAAGTTGTACAAAAACATAGCCATGCACTTATTAAGTTAAATAAAGATTTTTTTAGATATTTATTCGAATGGAATCGTTAAAGATTTTTGGATTTGAGTTCCTTTTTTTGGTTCCGTGTTGCTTTTATACATCTTAACTTAAGATTCTAAAGGATTAAGTTTATAATTTCAGATAAATGGTTTAAATGTTCGAAGATAGTCGATTGAAAGTTTAGATTGAACTAAAGTAGAATCAATGAAATGCAAAAGAATAAATCTAATGATTATTTGTATAATTACTTACTTTAATTGCCAAGATCTAATCTGTAAAGTAAAAAATCTTCAGCATTTCAATCTGAAATGCAAACTTTAAACAACAATAAACTTAGACTTCCTTTTTAGCGCATATTTGAAACTTGTTTCAAAAAGGTAGCTTAATAATTCACTTTGTACGTTCGTTCGTCTCCAGAAAAACTTTTTAACCAGACATCTTAGAAAGCTCGGGTTGTTTTATTAACTCCGTTACTACCGATTTATCGGCCCATCGAGTTTATAAAATTCTTCTAACCATGGTTTTATGCTATAATTAATGATTTTTATATTTTATAAACAAAATCACATGATGAGTACGTTTAAAAATTTGATTTTTTTTCTACCACTTTAATAATTGTTCAGGGTATGTTCAGAAGTTCAAATTTTTTTCTACAGTTAAAAAAGAATTGTTAAATATATTCTTTCACGAAATACAAAGAATATGCTTTGATAAAGGCAAATTTTTTTAAAGTATTAAAGTATTTTTTAAAGTATTGTCAATAATTTTTTATTCATTCTTCATTTTCTAATAGAAAAATATTAATTCTCCGTTAATCCAACTAGCTAGTTGATAAGTAAAATCATAATCAATTTGGAAATTAAAACCCAAAAATTTTTTCTACAACAGTTTTTAGAAACAACAACAAAGTTATACTTCCATAAATAAATTTCATCTCTTCATTTTTTTTCTATTCCAAAAATGACAACATTAGTCTGTTTAAGAATTATTAATACTAGAGTTAATTCATTAGTTAATGGTATAATTTTTTAATATTAGTAAAGGCACAGAAATTTCAATTCTTAAAGTTTTTTTTTTGTTCGAAGTTTAATCTTTGGCAGCTTGAAAACTTTGGGGTTAAGTTAGGTTCTGTGATCTTCTGATGGGTTTGGAGTAATGATCTTGTGTGGTTTTGTAGGTTCTATGGAATTTATGTGATTATATATTTGAGGATGATTTATTGATAAGAATCTTGAAGTTTACAGATTGCTTGAAGAACCGGTGAATTGTCAACTTCAAGAATTCCGTTTAAGCACATCCCTGAATGGCACTGGTCGGTTAATCAATGTCAAATCTGGCATGACCTTGGAATGAAGCTGACTTTGATTCAGATCCATTCGATTAACCGACTTGTGCCATTCGGGATCAATATCCTTAAGTGTTGACCAAAATTTCTATTGAGATTGCACACTACTTTGTCTACCTTTAATAATTTACTACTCAAATATTGTTCAAAAATAATAAAATCTATTCTATCCAGTTCAAATAGCAATAAAATTAAAGACCACACTCCAACATTCCAGATGCCAAAATGAACTTCCTCGACTTAAATGACCTAATTTTAATTTATTTGAGTTGATTTTTCAAGCTGCTTGCTAGTTGCTCCATTAAACATCGTTGTTTCGGAACAATTTTTTGGTATTCTGAACAAAACTTTTTAAGATCGAGCTCTTGAAGCTTTCTTTGACTTGTCTGCTCGTGGTGGAATCGGAACAGCACTTTTTCCACCAGTAACATGTCTGTTGTATAAGCTAAAAGTAAATTAATACAAATTAATAGATCAAGTTTGTAACATTTTCATTTTGCCACCTACATTCGATATGCTTCTGTCTTAATGTATTCAAGTACATGACTTATACCAAGTAAATATTGTTCACTGATCGGCTGAACCCATGGATTTTCTAAAAGGCAATTAATTGCATTATACATTAACATATGTTCAACATTCTGCAGTTGTACAGTAAGTAATTGACATTACCTTCCATCTTAAAAACAGATTTGTTGCTGTAAAGATCCAAGTTTGCAATTTCTGGTGGGATTACTGTCAAACGATTGTTTTGGATGTGCAATTCACGCAGGCGACCTAGTTCACCGATCTCACGAGGAAGTTCTAATAGGTCGTTATCACGGAGACCAAGCTAAAATATTTGATTAAGGTAAGTAAGTTATTAAACTGGTGCAAATTATAGCTTTGTTCAAATTTTCACTAGCTTGACCAATTCTCTTGATTGCCAGCAAACTTCTGGTCAACCTAGCCTAGAGCTAGTTTAGACGGATACCTGAATGGCATAAGTCGGTTAATTTAATTGAAACTCAGTGCCAAGCCGGTATGACTATGGCTTCGATTTAAATCCAGTACCATGCCAGAGTCACACCATCTTGGTACCGGATTTCTGATTAAGTAACCGACTTGTGCCATTTGGGATACATCAGTGTTGTACAAACTTTTTGATCCACGGCACCTTAGTGGTAAGCCATGACCGGAGTCACACACAGCATCCGGTTCGTGTCATGTTCAAAAAATATCTCCGGCACACAGATTGGACCACACCAGCATAGATAAATACCAGGCTCGGAAACTAGGCGGTATACCACCAAATACTCCCAACTTGCATACCAATACCCCCAAATACCGTCTCTTTATATGAAATACCGCCTAGCTTCCGAGCCTGGGAAAAATACATCACATATCAATATACTCACGATTTGTAAGTTCCTCATGAATTTGATCTCTGGTGGTAAATACTCAAAGTCATTGTCTCCCAAATACAAGGCACGGAGAGTTTCTAAAATATAAAATTATGAATTTTGTTAAGTTTGAGTATTTTTGCTAATCAAAAGTTGAAGGAGTTGTTGCTGGATTCTTAATAAAAGCGACTAACGTCCTCAATGCTTGTTATTTTCTGGATTAATATGCTTTGAAACTAAACGATTGCAACTTAAATAGACGAAAAGATCATCATTGAAGTAAATAAAATCGATTAACAATCAAAAATAAGAAATTAATTCTTAAAAGTCTAGGATCGAATCCTATTAAAGTGAGTTCATATCGAATAGAACCTTATAACGTTAATATAATCAAAAGTCTTTTTTTTACATTTTTTACTATAAAATACAAATATTTTCAACTTAAAACTCACAAGAATCATGAAACCGAAACTTTTGTATCAAGATTCTCAAATCATTCGATCACTTGTCTATTTTAACACTTGCATACAAGTTATTTTTACATCAACAAGTCATTCTTACCCAATTTGAAGAAGTTTCCGGGAAGTTCTCGCTCATTCAAATTATTATACGATAAATCCAAAACTTCAAGAACTGGAAAGGCACCGAAACCACTAAAAACAACAAATGAAGCATGTCACTCAATTAATATTTTTCGTATATTAATGAGCAAAAATGTCAAAACAAAGCAGCTATTCAGCTGTTGATCAATTAATCATGCACGAAATTCGACTCACCGAGGCAATGTGCTGAGACGATTGATTGAACAATTTAATATTCTCAGTTTTGGCATCGACGAGAGTGAAAGCGGCAGTTCCTCCAAGTGATTATTTGATAAATTCAGAATTTCCAAATTATTAAGGTTCGCGATCGCTGGTGGCAATACTAAAAACATTTATGGGTATTAAAATTTCTCATATTTGTGATTTTTTCTTACCCGAAATCTTATTATGGCTCAACGTTATGCGAGTCACGAACGGTAGACTAACTAGAAGGTTGGAAAAGTCATTAAAAGTTAAGAATTTTGAGTAAAATTCAAAATTTTTGTAAACAGATGGGCGTCAATGTCAGAAAAGAAATATTTTATTCCATATTTGGTCAAAACTTGTCACAATCCTCCGACTACTTACAGATGTTTGGCAACTCGTCGAGCGATGAGATATTTTTATCAATCAATTCCAATTCGCGAGTCTCATTGTCGCGAGCATCTTCAAGATATTTTTTAACTTTCGACATATTCTTGCCAGCAACGGGTAAACACTGAACTTGACTCATGATAAGAGAATTTTTTTTTCTATGCTCCGACTTAAATGAGTAATTTTCTATGGAATATTTGACTGTTGTGAGTGTATTGGTGATGACAGTTATGACAGTTGAGAGAGAAGTGAGTTTGGTGGTGTTGGTGTGTTTTGAGAGTCCATGTAAAATGTGAGGTTTTTTTAAAGTTATTGAACTTTTGAGGATTTATGAATGAAAGTTAAGAAGACAGTAAGTTTTAAATGTTTAAATAGAGTTATATTTGAATTTTGATCGCTTTGAAAGATGATAATATTGAATTCGACCGATCTATGATAATTAAATATGATATGAAAGTGACACATGCGCAATGTTGGATTCAAAAATGTATTATTTCTATGACACTTGATCAGATATTTGGTTATATAAAGCATGATATGTATTTTATATGTGTTCTATATCATGATAAATATGTGATCGTAATTCCTTCCTTAGCTAAGGTGCAAATGAGTCTATAAAAGTCAAGAAAACATCGAATCTTGGAGTTCTAAGGTCTTTCTTGTGATTTCGTACCAAAATATTCTACTGAATGTACAATAAACGTCTGTAGATATGATTCTTGATGATTTATGTATCATCATAGGTTTGTAGCACTTTACAGGGATGTGACTAGAAAGAACGAGATGGTTTGGTATAAAATCCAAATGAAAATGGATTTTTGAATGTTGTTCAGACCAGAATTGTCAGATAAGCCCAATGAGAAAGTAGATTGAGTATCTAATTTCACATTTCTGACTCCTGATGCTTATATATCGAGCTTCATATGTCAAGAAACTCCAAATATATTGCTTTTTCTTAAAATAACCCTCAAAAATCTACAAAATTCCAAGAAAAAATTCCATTAATTTTCCTTCAACAATAAATCAAAAATCTAAAGAATTCCATAAATACTGGGGCTTCCTCAAACAACTGTAAATCCTCAAAAATGTAATAGTCGCAATAAACTGCAAGAGAAATCCATAATAAATACTTGCAAAGCACAAGCACTGATTATTTAAATTTCATTCTCCATAAATTTCTACATAATCACACATAAAATGTTGCTCGATTCCAATTTCATGTAATTTCCAATCTAATCCAATCATTTCAATAATAATTTTATTGATTATTAGCAATTGGAGTAAAATCTTACAGTAGCACTTCATGCAGATCTTTCACTTTCTTTCAGATTATAGAAATTTAAATTAAGTTTATTGCAAAAATTCGATTTTTTACGTGATTCATTAACTTATTGCTACTTCTGCAGCTACTCACTCTCGTCCAAAATGCGAATTGGTTTAATGGGTGAGAAAAATCTTCAATTTAGTTTTGCAGCACAGAAGCTGTTGCATTTAGAGATGATTACAATTATGATCGATAAGTAATCAGTAAATGAAGGCAATGAGAATAATTGAAATGCTGATTGATCGGCAAATATGAAAGGAATTGGATCAAATTGAGGTGAAAAAACTTTTCACAGTTTTACTTCTGCTTGGTGCTGATTGGAAATGGAAATTGATAGAATTTTTAAATTTTCTAATTTTTATGGATTTCTGATCAGAATTGAAGTTGATTTGGAATTGATCTGACACAATTTGGAATTATTGACTAGCTTTGGATCGTGTCGTAGCAATGATTTTGATTAAAGTAAAAGTTTGGACATTTGAATCAAAATTTAAAGTAAACTCAGCAATCTTTGAAATTTTAACAAACTTTAACTTCAAATTTTCAGTTCAAAATCACCGAAAGTAACAAAATTCAAGTTCAAATGACAATCATCGCTAGTGCCTGCAAAACTACAAAGTAAGAACTTCATTCGCTCTTTTAACTTTACTAATGTTAATTAAAATAATAATTATAATTCATGCGCAATTTCATCATCAATTAAAAATATTCACAATGAAAGCAGCAACAGCAGTAAAAAGACAAAAGTTGGAAGTGCAGAACAACATTGCATGAAATTTAATTGGCAATCATCATCATTATAGTCGTCGTAATGTGAATGAACACAAAAGTACAGCAAAAATCACACACAGTGGCATGGAGGCACAGAGAATGAAGAATGTTGTAGCATAATTAATTAATGCTTCATATTTAGTTAAAATAAGTAACTTAATTCATTTAATATGAACATTATCAACAGCAACAACAGCAGAAAGAAAGAAAGAAAGAAGAAGTAAAAGGGGAGCAATGGAAGGCACAGCAAGTAAGAAGCAACACTTCACATAACTTCATTAAAATTTGCGGAACAAAAAATCACGCAATGGTGCTTCTTCATTCGTCTAATTGAGAATGAGAGATTTCACTTAATTTAATTAATCCTCATTTGCTTTCATTATCGCATTTCTATCATCTCCAACTATTTAGTTATGATTTCTGCCACTGATGCAGATTGTGTCTATTTTTTGTGGACAGACTTTTAATGGAGACATTATTGAATGTAAAATGGTGAGATTTATATAGGATTGCTGATTTTAAGCTCAACTGGAACTGCTTTAAAAGAACCAAAAAAGTTTAAGAATAATGTGTGTCTCTATAATCATAGTAAGTGCTCAAAAATGGTCCAAGTAACTTAAAATAATGACAAAACTGAGAATCCAATCCTTAAGGACATCAAAAAGTCAGTTAAGCATAAAATTCTCATTTATTATAATGACTTTATCCAATATCCAGGTGCTCCTAACCTCAAAAACATTTAATTCTTCCAAAAATTCTCCATCCAAAGGCGATGCCTAAAAAAACTTAATTTCACAGACATCAAGTACTGCTCATCATCAGCAATCAACAATACTAGCAATTATGATGGAAATAATGGATGCCTGCAAAGAATTCTTGATCAAATGAAAATCACGATGTGATGTGGACAATAAGCAGCTTAATGAAGTAAATAGTATGGATTAAAAATGGAGTCTCATCTACCACTCGTGGCTCGTGAAATGACTTTAATTTTTATATAGCAAATCACATCATATATAATTTCCATTTTTATGCCTTTTTGTGTCCAAAATTATTAAGCAGTAGTGCCTGTGTGGCGCGTCTATTAAGGAAAGCTCAAAAGCTTGCTTGAAATTCAGTTCAATTCAATTTATTTAAATTCATAATATGAACGATTACTTAGACATGTATGATGTGTTGCGGTTCTTAGTGCTATTCTTATGCTTGTTGTTGTTGCTGTTCTGTTTGAGATTTTCAAGAAAGCAAGAGCAAGAGCAAGGAAAGGCAACAAGAAAGTTATTAAAGAAAAAGATCAAAGAAAATTTGCCGACAATTGCAGAATGCATGATGAATGCATGGTTAAATGAATGAGTGTGGAAGTGAGATGGAGCGAGGACGTTGAAGTACAAGAATAAAATTGGCTTGCCTTGTTTTGAATTTGAATGCCTAAGATGCAATGCAGCACACACACACAAAAAAGAAAGACTAAATTGAGATTTAAGATATAAAATGAAAATAAGCTTGACGCCTCGCGAATTCGGTTCCTTTGGTCTTGACATAAATGCGTGAAAAATTTGGTGAAGATGGACGTGCGTGGGTGGCATTGACTAACATTAAGGAACTGCAATTAATAGAAATTTTCACCTACAAATTAAGTCTCAATCAATTAATCATCTACACTCTATTTACAGCATCCAGAAAATCATCATACAGGCACAGGTTGATTGTTGTGGACCGAAACATTAAAAAGCTGTGATTTGCCACACATATAATAAATTTTGACCTCACACGTGCAATCACTTTTCTTCATCTTCGCTTCCTTCTGACCATCATCATCATCGGCAATCGGCACCGAATCTGAGTGAAAAATGCCTCAATTAATTTCAAAGATTGTGGAAGCACCAAAATCACAGCAGGAAATCTCTTCTTTACTTAATAATCTTTCAAGTTTTTTTTTTGAACTTCCAGTTGATTTTTTTTGGATATTTTCTTAAATAGTGTGTGAGCATCCACAAAAGAAGCAGATTGCTAAAATTTCCAATAATTCACACATTAAAAAAAAAGTAATTTCAATTCAGGCAGGTGATCACTATTTCTCACTTAATCGTATGTAATTATCTATTCTTTTATTTTAAGAAACCGAAGAAGCTTAAGGAATCAAAAAAATACATTAAACAGTTTAATGAAATAATTTTTTTTTTGATGGGTAATTTTGAGGCAAAAAAAATCGATTTCATGGAAGTTGGGAAAGAAAATGAGAAGAAAAAATTGTGAGGAGCTGTTAATTTTGCTAAATGTCTATTAATCATGTGAGAATGTATCATTAGTTATGGATTAATTTTTTATGTACTTTTTAATATGATATTGTGACGACCTTGGCTATAAGAATTGAATTGGAAATATTGAGACAGTAGCTTTTGTGTAATGTCTTAATTGGCAGTTCTCAAAGTTTTGCATTGATGCTTTTGTAAGGAGTGCATCTAAGTGGTTGAGGCAAGTAAGCTACTGTAATTATCTAGTTTCCTAGCTTAAGAAAGAAATATCTTCTGGGTAAAATCTGATTCTAGTCTTAACAGAAGAATCCAGTCTGTTACTTACCGTTTAATAAGGATTAATTAAAGGTTTGGAACTGATTTACTGGCTTTTGATCAATTTTGATCAGTTTCGCATTCTTGAAGCTTATTTGAATCATCGACAAATAGCACAAGTCGGTTATTTAAATAATAATCCAACACAAAGCTGGCATGACTCTGGCATGGTGCTAGCTTTGATTTGAAAGTCACACTAGTTTGGTGGACCGGATATCTGATCGATCAACCGACTTGTGGACTTGTGCCATTCGGGATCCTATCAACTGCAATATACCTTAAATTGCTCTGTTTTTACTATTAACAGATCTACATGACCAATGCAGTACCATTTTCTTATAATATTTTATATGATTTAGTATAAGATGCAGGGGCATAGCCAGAATTTTTTTCGGGAGGGGGGGAGGGGGGTCAAGTGGGATTATTGAACACTTTTTGTATGGACAGAAAAATTAAGGGGGAAGGGTTGGTGCTCGTCGTATTTTGTTTCTTAAAATCCTAGCAAATTTAAGAATTTTTTATAAAGTATTAGGGTCCTAAAACTCCCTGGCTTCGCCCCTGATACAGGGTTGTTCATAAATGACGTGCATCAAATGAACTAGATTTTCAAACCCTTTTGTCGTGTTGGCTTAAAACTTAAACAAAGAGAAATTTCTTTTGTTTTAGCCTTCACAAAACTTCAGACCCCCTAAACGATCTTGGACGTCATTTATGAACGACCCCAAAAATCCAAAAGGATTCCACACAACACATTATCTGCCTCCCCAAAAAAATCAATATAATTTAATGAAAATAATTTGAATCCATTTACTCAAGAAGATGATTGATGGATCTTCATATTATTTTATGTTATTCATCTTCTAATAAACAGAAGTAATGAAACATTTACAAATTATAATTTTTTTGGCTAATATTCAAATTACGCAAATCTGAGAGTCTTAATTTTCATAACAGAAGCTGCTTTTTCCAATTACTAAGCAATTTAAAATTAAATAATAACACAATAGTTATGTTTATAATATACATCAAGAAGTGTGAATTATGGGTTTGCTCAATAAATTCGTAAAAGGTCAAGCTACTGTGAATAATCTGTAAATAATGTGAGTTGAGAGTGGATTTGTTTTTGTTTGCGTAAACAAAATTGTTCAAAGAGGATTTGTTGCTATTTGACTAAGGCAGACAGTAAGGAACAGAATTTATATTTCAATGTAGGATTTGAACTTGATCTTGGTCATTTTTTTATTATCATAAGGTTTTCTGCAAAGGATCTTAGGTTGGTTTATTGAGATATTTGGGAGACGATATCTTTGAATTAAAAATCGAAGTGCAGGATGTAAAGTTTTCCCGGAGAGCTCTAGAAACCAGTTTTATATAAATCCTTGTCATCAGACTTCATAGAATTATTATTATTATTATTATTTATTTGTCGACGTTACCGTCCGGAAGAATTAGTATTTATACATGTTTTACTTTTTACATTGATTAGTGATACATTTCATATCACTATGGGTGACGTAGAATCAAGCTTCTAATCTTCAAATCTAGGTTTCGATTAAATTCAGGCTCTCGTTTCAATCTTCTGTGGGCGTGACGTGATACATTTCAGATCCGTTCTGACAATATTCCATTATAAGGTAATCTTGTAGCTCTCGTTCCTATTTCTCCCACTACACTTCAAGTTCCTGATCCGTTCCTTAATCCAACGTTGCCCAAAATGCCCAATTATGGCTTGATATCGTACATTAAGCAGTCGAAGTATCTAAACTTCCGAAAAAGAACAATTTTGGAAATGGCTGGATTCGAACCGACGACCTTCGAGTTACCATAATTTGAGCCAAGCGCCTTACCTATTCGACCAGCAAGGCACTTAACTGCTTAACTGTTGCTAAAAGTTCTCTTAGTGCTCACTTCATTCCACGTCAGTCTATCACTCAGTATCTCTCATCTAAGATGCATCCCTTCTTAATAATCCATTAATAAATGACCGGTGGAACCTCACATTTGCCCTCAAAATACAACAGGTCAATTAAAAAAGGTGCATCAGCAGCTGCTTGTCAACAAAAATAAATAGAACAACTTCAAACAAACACCATTCAATTAAAAAGTAGATGATAGCAATTTGTCTTTTTTTGATGAAATTACTATAATCTGTAAAGCATTCTTTGCACTTTGATAAAACACCAAGCAGGTAAGTTTGAACAAATTTTTTTCACTGTATTATTATAAAATTAATCTAACGGATAACTTCTTATTATTGTTTATACTAAAATATAGACTTAATTGTAACTTCACACATCCACAAATATCAAGCAATTAGCTACACACATTTGGAGTTTTATCACTTTTAACGACATCCACTTCTCAGTACTTTGGTGATTCATTTCTCGAGTCGTTAATTTGGAACCAAGATCCATATAAAGGTGGCGGTGAGTTCACATCTTCAATTTTAGGTGTAGTGATTCCAAAAATAATTTCACTGTCACTTCTGTGTGGCTGTGTAGTGATTACTTCTGTTCCGACTGGATTTGAGCTAAAGACAATGTCTTGAGTTGGTGCTGATGGCTCGTTACTGAATCTATTTGGATTGTAGTTCCACGATCGTTCATGACACACGTCATTATCATGATTTATTGAGTATGCTTGATTCCTGATCGGCGATTCTACAAATTTCAACACTTAAAGTTGTTTAAAAATTATTTTATTTAAAATTCCTTACGATTTTGTGAAATTTCAACTTTATTAATATGTCCACAGCAAGCGTCAATGCACATGGTGCCACAAAAACTTGCACAAAATAGACAAAATACTCCGCAACAAAGCTCTGTTATAGGATCACTACTCATAACAAATTGTCACCAAATCACTTTAGTCTAGTTTGACGCAATAAGAACAACTAAACTCTAAAATATATTTCGCTTATCTTCAAAACTCGCTATTGAACCTATCTCATTCTCGCGCAAAGTGAGTTATCAAAAAGATTGTAAATTGTATTTTTTTTGGTGTTTTTGTAGGCCACGTGCTGTTTATGTTGTTTTGGCTGTTTTGATAAGTTTGACTGTCGTAAATATTATTGACTAATTGTAAAATTGTTGAAGACTTAAGGTTTATAGAGGAAGAAATATTTGAGTTATCTTGTTACTTAATATCAGAATGACTATCCAGTTGTAAAGTGCAAAATCTACAATTTAGCATTTTTAATCATAAAAAGCGCATTAACAGATTAGGATCGCCTGATTTTACTTTTCTACTGCTACTCTGATGGCCTGATCTGACATAACTCAGATTAAAATTTGTGAGACTTTAGTTGGATTAGTGAAGGATTAAGTTGATGACTTAAAGCTGAGCTTTTATAACTACCATTAAATTAGAAATCCATTTGAAGACAAGAATTAAAGTTGAAAATCGATTTATTTGCTTAAAAAAATGAAAATTTCATTAAATTTATATGCAGACAGCTTAATGATTACTTTGTAGATCTCGAAGTCGAGCTAGTTCATTTGAGTTCGACGGTTTGATTTTCTATGACTCATCCGAATGGCTCAAGTCGGTTAATCGATTAGAAATCCGGTACCTAGCTCTGTGACTCTGGCATGGTTCTGGATCTGAACTGAAGTCAGCATCATGTCAGCTTTGCACCCGATTTTTATTCGATTAACCGACTTGTGCCATTCGATTCAAGTCAACTTAAATTGAGACAAATTCGAGCTCTGATTAAATATTCAAAATTATTTTCTTGTATTTAAAGAATGTTTATCATCTAAAGATTCATATTTGGGCGGGCTTGTCAGTTCATTTTCGTGATCAATTCCAAAAACAATTTCAACATCACTTCTTTTAGGCTGGGAAGTGATTATTTCTGCATCATTTAGATTCACACTAGCAAACGGTGGTCCTTTTGCCACAAAATCTGATCCATTATGGTTGTCTCCTTCTACAGATTGATTCTGAGGTACTTGATTGTCTTCTACAACAGAATGAGCATCAGAACTGATCAATGGATCTAAGAAATCATTATTTTCAATTAATAATTCATTAAAATTAAGAGTTTATCATCACCTTTATCACAATATAGATTTATGCATTGTCCGCATCTCATACACAAATCAAAACACTCGAAAATTTTGCAAAAACATTGTAAAAATGCATTTATATCTGCCATAGCTCTTTAAACTTGTTATGTTTTTATCAAAACTAGATTTTTACTGAATGAAAAATAACAAACTACTGATTCACTTCTCTTGTTCTGTTTTTAGTGTTGCTCTCTTTTTCTCTCTTATCAAAAAAAACTATCACATTTGTTTATAATGCACTTTGTTTACTTTTTGTAAATATTATGAAACTTAGTTTCCAATAATATAGGTTGAAAGTCCAATAATGAATTAAATTGAGAATTGATTGAAGAGCTCGAAGTCAAGTCAAGTTGATTCAATTATTTCGATTTAAATTATTTGATTTTTAGCAAAGATTCTACTAATATCAGCTGCAAAGCGTAGACTAGAGGCAACTTCAATAGCGTTGACTATAGTCAACTTTAGTAGCGTCGACTAGAGTCAACTTCAATAACGTTGACTATAGTCAACTTTAGTAGCGTCGACTAGAGTCAACTTCAATAGCGTTGACTATAGTCAACTTTAAAAGCGTCGACCTGAGTCAGCTTCAAAAGCGTCGACTAGAGTCAACTTCAGTAGCGTCGACTAGATTTGACTTCGAACTCTGACCAAACGTTTGTTTTTCAATTCTAAACAAATTGGACTACTCTTTAGATTCTAGAATTTCAGGAAATAGAGATGTGTAATTTGGTGGTGGAGTCAAAGGCTTATTTTCAGATGCTACAACTGAATTACTGCTGGTTGATATCGATAGTTGATTATTGCTTCCAAATATGATTTCATGATCACTTCTGATAGGTTGTGATATTATTACTTCAGTCCAGATTGAATCTGAGTTGATAAATGGCGGTGCTGATGGTGAATATGGTGTATAAGCTGGTCCAGTATTGTAATAGTCACAATTCTCGCTAAGAGTCATTCCACTTTCATCACTAAGATCATATACAACAGATCTGATAGGTGTAGCTGCAAACTGAACATTATGAGAAAAAATTCAACTTAACCTTAAAAATTAGCAAGTTACCATTATCTTGGTGACTCTTAGTTGACTTAATCCACAACTTAACGCATATAAAACAAAATAAGTCACAACAAAATGCTATAAAAGAATCATCAGTCATCACTACTGCTTGACAATCACTATTATTCACTTGCAAACTCTAACTGCAACTGAATCAGTGCTAAAAATATTTCTCATTATCTATGTTTACTATTGAACTTCACTTACTTCCTACACTCTGTGTGTTGTTTTTTCATTGAAATGGGTAAAGCAGATAGGTTATTGATTTTTAAGTGCATTAAAATCACGTGAAATGCTGAAAGGTTTATGAAATAAAGGAATGAGATGAAGGGACCGACCGGAAAGTATCTTGTTTCTAAAAGGTAGCTTAATATTATACTTTTCTCGATCGTTCGTCTGTTCGTTCGGGGCATATCAAAAACTTTTTAACCAGGCATCGTAGAGAGCTCGGATTTGTTTTATTAGCTCAGTTCTATCGAGTTATTGACCGATTGAATATTTTTCAAACATAAAACAATGGGTTTGTGCTATAATTAATAATTTTTTATTCCATATAAAAAACACGTGACGAGTGCGTTAAGAAATTTGAAAATTTTCGTACAGTTTTAAAAATTGTTCTAGGTTCGTTCAGAAATTTGAATTTATTTCTACTGTTAAAAAATTTGAAATTAAAAAGACCGTTAAATCACAAACCTTTTTATATGAGAATTAATTGCAACAAATTGTTGATATGTTTTGGTAATCAAATACTGATTGCAGAATCAAAAATGCTCTAAAGTCCCTCGATCAATAACACGAGGACTTTTGTAATTTTTTTTGAAGCAACATGTAATATTTTAAAAAAATTGGCATCAGAACAAAATGAATAGATTGACTCACAAAGAATTTATCACAGCTAGTACTTGATGATTCACGAATGTTTCAGCAAGTTTATTACAATTTTGTTAATTACTTTATAATATTTGATAAAATCCTTAATTCAAATCGTTGGAGCTGTTGGTGCTAATTGCAAAGGTTGATGATAATTTCCAGGATATGCAATACTACTCATTGCAACTTGTTCATTATTTTGACAAATTTTTTCTTGAGTAAGAAAATTTTGAGTATTTCCAGCAAGTCCATTAAACTGAGCCATTTGTTGCTGAGTCATCGGGCTATTAAAATTTGCTGGTAGCATTTCAGGATGAGCTCCGGCATTTGGAATCATAAAACCTTGAGCCTGTAAATCTTTAGCAGTTAGAACAATCACTCTACGCCCACTTTGCTGAGGGATCTGCGAATTTGCTAGAAATTTGTGAATATTTTTAATTATTCTGGCAACAGAAATGCTGAATTTATTACCATCTGGTGCTCTTTGAGGCCGACGTCCTGTTATAAAACTTGGACATTTACGAATACAGTACCGTGAAATATGTAAAACTAGCAAGAGCAATAAATAAGCTAGAATTGCTAATATACTTGCGAAAATATAGGCAAAATGGATTTTTCCGTCCATTATAACTTTGACAATGATTCTATTAAGAGGTTATTAGTTATTTTTGACACAACGATCAAATTAAGACTGAATATTTATTTTAAAAAATTAATATTTATGAAAAATAGGATGAATAATGTGATGAATAGTAAATGACTATGTTTTATGATAGCGACTATTAATAAAATTATCTTTAAATTCTGAGAGATAAACTAGTTGGAACCAAATTAATAACAAGTAAGATAGCGCATATAGCTTCAAGGTTAAGTTTCAATGATGGAGAACTGATCAAAATTAAACAAAACTTGATTGTTCAGCTAGTTCTAACACCATTGCTGAAGGGATGAGTTCGACATCAAAAAAATATTGACAATGTTTATAAATCTAGTGGGACACGATTGGGATTCGAACCCTTATCTTCAAAAGAATATCAGATTAATGATTCAAACTCAGAGGTTTTCATAAATTACATTCAGCAGCGATACAATAGCTATAGTCTCATTTTATTAAATCCATGCCAAATTGAGATTAAGTAGAGTTTACAACAACATTCAATCACAGCAAAAATACTCTCAGAGTGCAACAAAGGTGATATAGTCAACATTCCAAGAATTAACTTAGCACCGAATGATGTTAGTTTGCCGTTTATCCTGAGGCGACGGCAGTTTCCAATTATTCCAGCATTCATGTAAAACCTAAAGTTAAAAAATTTGGTGTTTAAAATTGATTTGTTTGACGGGGGACTTTACTAGTTTATAAGATTTTCTAACAAAACCATACATTCTAATAAAACCTCACAAATTATCAAGGAATTGTACGGTGAGTTTTCTCCCAACCTCCGAATGAGGATGTTGTGGAATTGTGCAATACTTCAAAATTAATTAATTACGCGTAGGAATAAGTCACAAACCTACGGGAACTATCTTCAAAGTAACAAAGAACAAAGATACCAAGGAGAAAACTCAGCAAAGTCGCGATTTAATTAAATTTTGGATATAAATTGAAATTGGAAAAAAATGTGCAAATTTTGCACATAATCTAGATAAAACGGAATTGATCATCATCGGAATACCAAAGAACATTTAATTACATTGACAAATCACGATCGGTGGCAGTTGTCAGGAGAATCAACTGTTTTACGTGGGTTTTTTTGTGTTTTACCAATAATCGTGGACAAGATGGTTCTATCATAGCCATAACCTAGACATTTTATATTATTGGAATACAACGGATTATCGTCAATTGTGAGGAGAATTTGTCTCGCGATGGGTTTTGTGTGTTTCCCCATATATCGCGGGCAAGTTCTATTAATCAATTGGTGCTGACTGGATTTCAACAAATCAACATTGACAAACAGGAACCGATCATCTTGAAATACAGCAGAACATATTAATTACATTGACAGATCACAATCGAGACATAACAAAAATTTGAATCTATTTGGAATATCACAAGTTGAATTACAAGAAAGACTGTCAAGGGATCTGGATCATCGACAACTGAAGATGGAATTTTTTGCCTAGCGATGGTTTTTTGTTGTTTTGACTTATCGCGGGCATGTTTTCTGTCAACCATTTGGAGTTGACTGGATTTTATTGATTGTTCTTTGTGTATATTTGTAAATTAAACTACCTGGAATTGTGAACGGTCTTTAAATAGCAATAAGCTGATGGACCATAATAAAATTAATTAAGAAGAAGAAGAAGAAGGAATTGTACGGTTCTCAACTGTGGACAGATGCCTGTATCGCAACCCAGCTTCATATTAAAGGTCATTTTGTATGTCCATCCAAAGATCCTTCGGCTAGTCTATTTTTACTTTTAACCCAAAGTCGATATTCGGATACAAAATTAATGAACACCCAAGAAAAAGCAGAAGAGGGGAAAGCAAGTTGATGGTCGATAGCAAATTTTTGTCAAACTGAAAAAAAGAAACATTATTTTCAAAATATTCTGCTACATAAGTCAGGATGATTTGATAATACAAAAAATAACAGTTAGTACTCATCAATTCGGTTGACAAGAATGACTTTAGGATAAATAAAATAAATTTCGCAAATTATGAAAATTAATTTGGACATTTTATAGACAGCAGAGTTTGTTTGCATAAAGGAAATGGATTTGTCATAAATTAACTTTAGTCTAAGAATCAATTTAACAAATTTGATTGAACAATTAAAAAATTAAAATTCAGACCTTCTGACTTGTCATCAAAACATCCTGAACTCTTACAATACAGAATTCGCAACAAAATCTTATAATCAGTCATGGGATGCTCATTCTCATCAGAAGAATTAAAAGAACAAAGACGCATCAACAATGAAATTAATCAACAAATAAGACGAGAAAGACGTGAGTCAATGCGTGAACGGAAACTCCTTCTTCTCGGTACTGGTGAGTCTGGCAAGTCAACATTCATCAAACAGATGCGTATTATTCACGGAAGTGGCTACTCAGACGATGACAAACGTTCATTTATAAAATTAATTTATCAAAACATTTCTATGGCAATGCAGTCAATGATTCATGCTATGGAATCACTAAAAATTGAGTATAGTGACGAAAAAAATATAGAAAAAGCCCAGCAGATACTTAGTCATGACCTTACACCAGCACAAAATGTTCAACTATCATTAATGAGCTCAATAAAGGAACTTTGGGCTGATGCAGGCATTCAGGAATGTTATGAGCGACGACGAGAATATCAATTGATAGATTCAGCAAAATATTATCTTAATGACCTAGAACGGATTGAAAAGGATGATTACTTACCCACGGAACAGGATTTATTGCGCGCACGAGTCCCAACAACAGGAATTATTGAGTATAAATTTAAATTAGACAATATTTATTTTAGAATTGTTGATGTAGGTGGACAAAGATCTGAGAGAAGGAAGTGGATTCACTGTTTTGAAAATGTCACTTCCATTATTTTCATATCAGCACTGTCTGAGTATGATCAAGTTCTATTTGAGTCTAGTGATGTCAATCGATTAGAAGAGTCGATGGCTTTATTTAAGACATTAATCACCAGCAATTGGTTCCAAGAGTCATCAGTACTTCTGTTTCTAAATAAGAAGGATTTACTGCAAGAAAAAATCATGAATTCACATTTGGATGACTACTTTCCTGAGTTTTATGGACCCAGGAAAGATATCATTGCTGCTAGAAACTTTATCCTGCAAATGTTTGTGAATTTAAATCCTGACGAGGACAAAACTATTTATTCACACTTTACATGCGCAACAGACACTGAAAACATGAAGTTTGTATCTGCAGCAGTTAAGGATACGATATTACAGAGTAATATATCAACTTATTTACCCATGTAGTCATTGCTACATTTAAGGAAGGATTTTATATTTTATATTAAAAATTAATAATGTTAATATTGTTACAATAAGTAAATGCTGGGGTTTTTTCAATCAATTACTGAATTGTCATTACTGTCTATAATTATCTAATAACTCGTATGGTGGTGGTGGTGTTGTTGATATGAAATCAGGAACTTCCACTATCAAAACACTGCTTGTTCCATCTAGAAGTTGAGTAAAATGAAAATTTTAGATTATTAAAAATGGTGTTCATAACAAGAAGATTTAAGCTCAAGAAACCGGCACTAATCAGTCAACTTCATAATTCCTTTCTAATATCATTCCAAAAAGTCAATGATCTGTTAAGTTATGAAACTGATTAACTGAATTCTGATCATTTTTGGTGAAATTCGACTGCTTTAGAGTGTATTCCGTTGATTTTTGATTCAAGAAGCATAAAGTTCTCCTTAAAAACTGGCCCAGAAGACAATCTACAAAGTACCTTTTAAAGGTCATGAAAAGCTCGGGATTGCAAACTTAATATATTTTATTTCTTCAAAAAATCAACGGTTTTATTCAGCAAATCATCAAAATCTTCTCATATTCACCTATATTATTTTCCAAATTTTGCTTAGTCGACGTTCTTCTCCACATGATGTATTTGTATATGTAATGTGTAATAAACAAAAATGAAATAATCCACACGAGAATCACAACATTTTTAAAGCCATCAATTTGCATTTTCTTCTATTTTTAATAAAATAATTGAATTTTGTTCACTTTTAAGAGTAACTTAATTAAAGGTTGAAGCTTAACTGATAATTTTTATTGATTAAAGTTGCATTTGTTTCTCATTTGACATCAAAAACATCTGCTCAGTCATCAATTAAAGTTTATAAGATTCAGCTAGTCACTTTTTCACAATTTTTACTCAAACTGTTTATTTTATTTACTGATTTTTATTTTTCATTACATGCTCTTGATGTTCTCGTACTCACGAGAGTAGCCTCAATTGACTCATTTTTTTCTTTCGTTAATTTAATTGAAAATAATTTCATTGTGCTGTATTACTTTCAGTTGTTGAATTTCTTTATTGTGTGGATCTTAATAAATTTCATCTGATTTTTTTGAATTTTTTAATTGCATTTAAAAGCCGAAAAACAGCTGATAGCTCTTCTTGGATGTTGTTGTGTGTAAAATGTTAAAACTTGATCGGATAAGATTGATAAAAATGTTGTCAGTCACACAAACCTTTTTCAACGCATTTTTACTAATGCACTTTGTTCGGCTGCTCGTTCGGGCGAAGAAAAACTTTGCAACCTGACATCGTAGAGAGCTCGGGTTTGCTTTATTAGCTCAATTCTATCGAGTTATTGGCCGATCGAATATTTTTGAAGCATAAAACAATGGCTTTGTGCTATAATTAATGATTTTTTATTTCAGTACTGTGTAACCTGTTCAAATTTTTTGACTCCCTCTATAATTTCAGCATTACCTCTATAATTTCAAATATTTATTAACCGTTTGGAAATTTGAATTCCAAAAAACTTTGAATTAAATGATAAAGCCTTTCTGTATTGAAATTCATTGTAATTATTTGTTAATTACATTAAAACTTTTATTTTTATTTATTTCTATAACTTAAAATTACAACAATTCTAATACCGGTCATATCCAAAATACGAAAATAAATAATTGAATCTCATTTTAAGTCTCTGTTCTCTGTATTCAAGAGAAAAGAGAGCACAAAATTATTAAAATTCTCAATTGTTGATTTTTCGAAAAAGTCAAGGCCAATAAAAAAACAATTTACATCTAATACAAAGTATGTAATAAGCATGCTACTGCTGCATTATATCTAAGGGATGCCGATTGTTAAAAATATCCTCATAATTAGGTGGCGGCGTTAATGATTCATACAGTGGTGGTGGATTTATTGGAACATTCAATCTTACATGATGGTCGGGAATGACTTTGAAAAATTAAAAAATTATGCTTTAAAATTTAAATTTAAATTATTATAATCAACAACTTACTTTGTAAATCAAACTGATTAAATTCTGACTCACTTCCAGAACCTTCATCCTTATAACATAAAATCAATATCAACAAAATAACAGTAAAAAATAATGTATAAACCATTAGATTTAAAACATCGACATCGTTTTCAAACATATTTATTTTCAAAACTTACACTAGGTTTGTTAAATTGATACTGAAGGATTAGATCTTTTTTGATAAAAAGTAAAACAAAAGAATCAGATCAGTTTCTCATTTTAAGCATTTTGCTCTTTGAGAGAACATAAGCTGATGCTGTTGTTATCATTTTTACATGATCAAATAATTTATTTTAAATATTTCACATTAATTGGCATTTCATAAAATTTTGATCTCATTCTTGAATTCCAACTTTGATGATTAAACATGCAAATCATGATCTAAAGGATGTCTGTCTTTAAAAACATCATCATAATTTGGTGGAGATGTTATTGTTTCATACAACGGTGGTGCTTCTAATGTTGCTCGTTGATTTTGTTGTGCTGAATGTTAAAAAAGGAAAGATTTCATTAAAATCTCAAGTTTTGTAATTTTTTAATTTTACTTACTTTTTGTGGCACTTAAATGATTGAAAAGAAGATAATAAGCTAGCATTAATAAACAAACAAATAAAAACATGATGGTTGCAAATAAGTATCCATCTACGACAGGCATTTTTAAGCTACTAAGTTGTATTAACGGGGTTCAAACTTTATTTGATTAACAATTGAAGAAAAAAACAATTTTGTATTAGAATTTTAGTTTATTAAAAAGAATTTTATTAAAAAAGCCACGAGTACTATAAACTCGAACTTGAAAATTTCTGGTTTTTTGCATTGGATAGTTCTTAATTAGTAGCTTTTTTCATCAGAATTTAAGAGTTGATTGGCTGTTCTATCAAAATTCTGAGTCGACATGAATTTCAATCTTTGCAAATGGTTCAGGTTTATAATTTCTAATAAGTAATAATAGTAAATCTGTAAAAATAAGCCACCAAACTACTAAAATACTAGAGTTTTCATAATTCAAGTTTTCAGGAATATTTTGTTCTCGGGAACGGGAATATTCCCTTTATATTTGTTTATAGCTAGAAAAACTCAAAAATTTCAAAAAAAAAATAATTTTTCTTCCTCTATCAATTTTTCACCACAAATTTAGTTTAAGAGCAAAAATCTTAAGTTTGAACTGTCACAAAATCTCAGTCATACTCATTTACATTAAAAAATTACTCTCCTATTCTCTTTTATAAAATGTAATGCAATTCTCTCTGCAGTTTTAGTTTATTGCTTATTCAAATCGTGCCTTTATGAACAACAAAATTATTTCTTCAATCTAGACTGTTTATGACTCATTTAAAATATTTTTTAATTGAACAAACAAGGGACCGTTCAAATATAACGTCTAGGTAGGAAGGAGGGGGGGGGGGGGTCAGCAGGAAAAAAAATTCCGAGAAATGAATTGTTTTTTTTTTTATTTTCAAAAAATGACCATTAATTTCGGACGTCATAAGTGAACGACCCTTAATGACATTTAAACAAAAAACTGAAGTCACTTTTATTTTTCAGAAATTCGCTGATGTTAGACAATTTTGGTGAAATTGACACTGCCGGTTCTTGAAAAATATAGCAATTTTAATAATAAAACTTATGTCTATCAAACTCAGTCTTAATAATACAAAATTTATTTTACAATCACAAATGATTCGTTGAAAAATCATTACAACTTCCAAACAATTCATCATACTTTGGTGGATCAGCAAGAGTGTCATATTGAGGTGGTGACTCACACTGATTTACATTTTGATGACTATTACTATCCAGGAGACCTTAAAATTGTTTAAAAAAGCATTATTTTAAAAACTTAATTATCTGTTTTTAATTTTGTCAAAAAGGAGCATGGCTGACTCATTAAAAAAAACAAATTTTAATTCCTAAACTTTATTCAACATTCAAGCAACTCTCAACTTACCTTCACTATCTACATCATCACTAAGTCTTATCACATGTCCTCTTCTATCAATTTGGTATTTAAATAAAATATAAATATTCCATAAAAGTATAGCCAGAAATAATACGAAAAAAAGATATAAATTTAATATTTCCATAATTTTTGTCAGCTATCATTTCAACTCTACTGCACTTAAATTGTACTAAAATAATAATAATGAGACTAAGCTTTTTTGTGAGAATATTCATTGCAATGAATAAATTTATGAGAAACGGGAGAGAATTGAGTGCATGCAAATTTGATGTGATTGAGAAATGATAGAGTTTGGTTTTCCCGTGTGCTGTGTTGTTTCTGGAATTGACAAATTCTTTCAAAAACTTTCAATTTTATTGTTTACGATTATTAACAATTTTTAAAAGGTTTTTCGATTGTAATTAGACCATTTATTAATATTTTGGATCTACTGTACTTTTATTAAATTATTTTATTAAATAATTTGTTTAAGGACATCAAATTCACTTTGAAAAAGGTTTTAATCATGCATTTTTTTTGACGACAAACGTGCATTTTTAAATCAAAGATTCTCAAACTTTTCAGGCTCCAGAACATTAAATTCATGCAACATAGAAGCTACTCCTCGTTTTTAACTTAGGATTACTTCTCGGTATATTAGGTTAGATTGCAGAGCATAGATAAGAATGTAATGTCAAGAGCATTGTACGAATCTTCATCATATCAACAGCACTCTTAAATAAAAGATTTGAGAGATCAGTTTCTAGTGGGAATCGAACCCACGTCTTCACAAAAGAGGGTTACAAATATCCAGTCTGTTAATGACTCGCGCCACAGAGGCCTTATTCTAGCAATGGCAGATTCACCTACATATGGTTCGACACCCCAGATTCCACTCTGCTCTGACACCACAAAGTACTTTTGATTTTGGGGAGAATCATTTCAATTCAGGCTCATTAACAAGTTTCAAACCCTTAATACACTAAATCGATTGTGAAAATTCTTACGAAGTTGCAATTGAAAGAGCAAAAATGGTAGAATTCAGTAGCTTTATTTAAAAATCTTTATTTAGAAAGAGACTAATCATCCACGCTAATTGTTGGTGGTTGAGAATTTGTTAACATACTAGAATCAGAAGGAAATCCACTGATTCCATCTCCTTGTGCCCATGCAGTGACACTTGCTTGAGGCCTGATGTTGACATATTTTTGGCGCATTTTTGAAACTTGTTTCGAAAAGGTAGCTTAACAATGCACTTTGTTCGGCTGCTCGTTCGGGCGAAGAAAAACTTTGCAACCTGACATCGTAGAAAGCTCGAATTTGTTTTATTAGCTTAGTTCTATCTAGTCATTGGCCGATCGAATATTTTTGAACTATAAAACAATGGCTTTGTGCTATAATTAATGATTTTTTTTTATTTCAGTACTGTGCAACCTGTTCAAATTTTTTGACTCCCTCTTTAATTTCAACATTACCTCTATAATTTCAAATATTTATTGAAAGCTAGAAAATTTGAAATTCTAAAAACAGTGTAATTTTTTAATTAAAACTACGCGATATATATTTAATCTAAATGCGCTCTAGCTAGTTTTAAAAATAGTTTAAAAAAATTGAAGTTTTAAAAATATTTATTCATCATCCGAAATTGTTGGTGGTTGAGCATTAGCAGGAACTCTTGCATCAACTGGAACTCCACTAATTCCACTTCCTTGTTGCCATCCACTTACTGTCTCTTGTGGCTTCATATTTGCATATTCTGGTGGAATTTCATTTGTTCTTTGATTCTCTTGCTGATTAGTTTGATTATTTGAAGTTTCATCGACGCGAATAAAATAAATCTCACGTGTTATTAAGGCTGCAAGAATTTAAAGCAAAACTAGAATTAAACTATTTTTAATTAAATAAATTGAAATTCTTACGAGTTTGAATTTGTTGATTTGTGGGGATATTTTGAGCTGGTGTTTCTGTATCTTGACAGATGCAAGTACAACACATGCAGCATAAAATTAGTAGGACACTTAAAACAAAGAAAATAATTCCACTTTCCATATCGATTGAATAATAATTTGAAAAAAAAAATAAACTGATCTTTTCACTCTGACTGATTAAAGAATATTGAGTCTCGTATCAGTTTAATGCAGTATTAATAATTTGTATTACTTTGCTTGTTTATATAAACTTTATAATTCATAAATGATGTCCATTAAAAGGAGGAAACTTTCTTAAGTGCAGGCGCGTAGCCAGGAGGGTCTCCCCCCTCCCCCCCCCCCCTCCTTAAACATTTTGAACTGCAGTGAGAGTACGGTCCAAAACGCTTAAGAGGGGGACAAGACCCTCCTGGTGACAGTCCTTAAGTGACAGTATTTGAGGGCTACACACTTACTTTAAAGTAAAACATCATTAATAAATGGATCCTATGCGAATTCACCAATTATCAGTCAATTGAATAAAATCGTCTTCAGAATATCTCAGAAGACACAAAAAGGGGACAAGAGATAGTTTTAATTTTCTAAATGTCTTCTGATGGAGGCAAGGGATTACAATTGTTTTGATATTTCATCGAAATAAGTAAGTGATTAAAACTTTAAGATTTGCTTATCAATCTGATTGAATACTGTTGATTTGAAATATTGTAAAACTTGAATCGTTTATTCACAATTTCCTGATGGATATTCGAAGAAATCTTCTTTAACTGTTTCATACTTCGGTGGTTGCGTTAATGACTCATAGCTTGGTGGTTTATCATCGCAATTTTGATCAATTATTGGCGGATCTAGTCGAATTGTAAAAATTCCTGGTTGAGGTCGTTCCAAAGATCGTTCTGAAAATAAATGAAATGATTCTTAAATTTTCATATACTTTTATGAAATATTTTACTTCTTACGCGTTCTGCTTTTCAAACAAATTGTCAAAAGATGCAAAATACAATACAGCACAAGGACAAAAGTTAGAATAATGTAAATGCAAACTATGGCTATTAATTTGAATTTCTCAGTATCCATAATAATTTGACTTATTACTTCAATCATTGAACTTCAATGATCTATTAGCTAGTAAATGAAATTTTTGGAAATGCCATTCAGTATAGTTCACTGCTTGTTAATCTAATACATTTAAATATTTTGATATTTAAAAAAAAAGTTTTCCAGCATTGATTAGTGTGTCTAAGTCAGTGGTTCTCAAACTTTTTTGTTCGAAGGCCAGTTATATTAGATCAAAGCCTTCATTATGTGTCTGTTTGCTTTTGATTGAGAGTCTTTATTGTTAGTAGGAATTGAACTCAACTCCTTGTAAAGAGAGTTGTAGGTATCTCATTTGTTGCCTAGCAACTTGATTTAGTAGACATCATTCTCGTCCTGGCAGATTCGCTTACTTATGGTTAGACAATCCAGATAAATTTCCAGATAAATTTTATTATCAAATAATTCTTACGTGCTGTGTTTGATGGAGCTGGATTAGATAATGGACTGTGTGCGACTTTTCTGCAGTTCCAACAACTTTAGCGGTTGTAATTAATAGCACAATTGTTTGGGTTTTTGAGCCAGGCTAGTTCATCCAAAAAATAATGATGTGATGACAAACTTATGAAGTTTAAGACAGAAATTCATATTATATTCCCCCCCCCCCCCCTTCCAGCTCTTCCGACTTTAAATCTTAAAATTTATATGAAAGTATTTAAAAATTTATTTATCGATTCAATAAAGCTACACATAAAGTTACTCGTTAAATTTTTCCTCTGTTAAAGTGCTTTGTAAGTAATTTCAGCATCAAACCAATCACCAGAAGCTTCCCATGTTGTCTAGATCATAATTTTTCTGAATCCTCAAATAAATTAATTTTGAGCGTTTCATATTTTGGTGGTGGCATTAGGGCATCGTAAGGTGGAGGGTTGATTTCATAATTATTTGAGTATCTTAATGGTCCATAGGAAAATCTTCTGTCTGTTGTTGTGGGGTTCATTTGAATTGTGAAAATCTCCTGTTCTAGAGTCACTAAAATAGTTTACAAACAGATTTATTTTTACATGCACAAAAATCGCGCCAAAAGCAAGCAACGCCGGTTATTTTCTGACTAAGCTATGCAAATACAGTAAGATACATACCATCTGCAGTCCGATTAATCTCTCGTTTACTTAAACAATATTGAATTAAACTTAAACAGAAATAAACGACCGTAACAAATGTAAGAATAGGCAGGATAGCTATCAACAAAATCAAAATAAAGGAATTGTCAGTCATTGTTAAAATTAAAAATATTAGAGCTCTCGTTATGTACTTATTAGCTCTAATTGCTGATCTGAACTAAATCTCATTTACTCTAGAAATTTTTGTGCCATTGAAATTCAGATTCCTTATGTTGTTTATTTTTAATTATGAATTTTTCTTACGATAAATTCATTGTGTACAAACAAAAATGTGACAGGCTTCCTTATTGCGTTAAAAATTAAATATGAGTTCCGAGAATAATTTAGATCTTTGTTTTTTGTTTTATAAATCTGTGTTTTAAGCAGGGTGTTGTTTGGCACTTGGGGTCAGAGGCGTAGCAATGATATTTCAAGGAGGGGGGTGCCTGGGTACCTAAAGACCTCTCGTTGCTACGCCCCTGCTTGGGAACATATATAGGAACATCTAGGGATCGTTCACCTATGACGTCCAAATATAACGGTCATTTTTCAAAAATGAACCAAGAATTACCAGTAATTTCTATTGTTCTTTTCTTGTTAACCCCCTCCCCCCTGGACGTCATAAGTGAATGGCCCCCTACTGTGAAATCATTTTGACTATTTTGTCTTTGGTGATGGCTTGTAGAACTTCATGGGGTCCCCCACTTTAATAATAATGTGGGAGGGTTCCAGCCAGGCGGTGTGTTACTACACGTTGCGTCGAGCTGAAGGCACTGCGATCCTGATCGATGATTGAATTTATTGTCCCCTACTTTAGTCAGTGTCAAATTCTAATTATACCTTACAATGCTATGCAAAGATATTAGATTCAAGGATAAGGTAGCCACATGGAGCTTTATAAACTGGTCCCAATGTCCATAATACAATGCAGCTAGTCACAATTTAAACAGAAAATCACAAATAAACTGAGTTGATTGGCTGAAAAATCTGTCAAATTCGACTAAACTTACCTTTATGAGGATCGAACTTAGGATTGCTAGTTCAATTGACAAACATTTTATGCGTAGATTGAGTAAATAGCAATATTGGGATTCGAACCTACTCCCTTACAAAAGAGAGCGTTATAGGCTTCTGGTCTGTTGCCTACCAACTCGGTTAAAGCAGTCTTACTTCCAATTTGGTGATTTCGTCTTCAAGTTGGATGCAAAGTGTCTAGTATTGACTAAATTGCACTCACAAGCAAGTCGTTCCAGTTCTCATCATGAAGTTTTTCTAAGGGATTTGATGACATTGTACAGAAACATTTCATGACTTTACATAAGAATCAGCAGTATGCGTTTTTGAAACTTAAATAGACTCATTATTAGAAAGTTCTGAGAATTTTGATAAGACAAAATAATTCGTGCTCATTGTTATGCAAAAAATGTGAAGCACATTAACGTCAACTGATGCAAGATTTATGTTTTCATCTCTAATCAGCTTGACAATGATCTTGGTGAAAGTTCAATGTTCTAATAAAAAGGAAATATTTATGCAAAAATCAGCAATAAAAAGCAAATTATCATTTTTCTATTGAATCAATTAAGGGGTCGTTCACTTATGACGTCTAGGGGGGGGGTCAGACATAAAAGAACAATAGAAATTCCTGAAAATCCATTGTTTGTTTCTAAAAAAAGACCGTTAATTTCGGACGTCATAAGTGAACCCCAGAGTTGTAAAATCATAATTAGCTTGAAGAATTTTCATTAAATTTGCAGCTGTCTTTTTGTTGATAGTAATAAAGTGACAAAATGATTTACACTTGACGATGCACGCTTTGTACATTTGATTATAAATATAACTGATGATGTCATGGATTTTTTTTGCCACAATTATTGCATTACATGGTCAGTAAAATTGTTTTCATCGCGTCACATTTTATTGCAGAGTAATGCAATGAATTCTCATGTTTATTACTTTGTCATGAGCAACTGAGCTTCCTCAAACAAATTCTCTCACAACAAATGTCTCTCTTGAAGTTCAAATTCACTGCTAATTTTTGAGTAAAACTTGCTCTATATTTCAAACAGAGGAAGTGTAAATAAACGTAAACAAAACTTTTGTAATTTAAAATCAAGTTTATTTTTCGTGCTTATAACAATAATATCTTTAATATTAAATCTTACATATTAATTTAAATAAATGAAACAGATCAAGTTTTACAAAATTAATAATTAATCAAAAATATGAACATCAGGAGAATGAACCCCCCCCCCTTCCGCTCACCCCACCATCTTAAAGCAAAGTTTACATCAAAAGGACTTAGCACATCTTATGATAATGGATGCTAAATTGATCAGAACAACAGAAAATGATCAAAAGTCAGCTCTGAATTCTTGGTTATAAATAATCATCTTGTGGAAGAGTTCCTTCCGGAGCAATTAATATCTCGTTCCATTTCTCCTCCTTGTGCAAGTTTCAGGCGCGTGGCCAAGGGGGGGGGGGGCTGGTGACAAATCCCCTTACGTTAACAGAAATTTTTCATTTTGCCTGCTACGTTCCTGGCTAGGTTGAATCCAAAACATTTAATTGACATCCACAGTTGAGTGAGATAATGCGTTCTATTCCATTAATTAACTCCTAGTATTTAACCTTAAATTGAAATCACCTCCCCAGGTGCGGAGCCAGGGCCCTACGTTTCCCCCCACTCCCCCCTTGAATTTTCAATACAAAAATTTTTTTTGTCCCCCATTCCCCCTTCACATTTCTAGCTACGCTTCTACTTTTCCCATTTAATTAAATCCTAATCCAAAAATCTTATTACTAGCTTTTAAAAAATTCTTCATATTTTGGCGGTGGTGTCAGTAGTTCATAACTTGGTGGGAGTGAGACTTGTGTCGCAAACGGGTTGCGATTGTGTTCTTGATTTATGTTGATTACTGTTGAGTCTTCATCGACGCTAGTTGAGCGATTTAGTTCTGAAATGATTGGAAAACATTGGTTTTAATTAATTTTTGCACAATAGTATTCTAAATTCATGGATAATGTCGAAAATCTCATATATGCCTCCTCAAATCTGAGCACCAACAACTCTACAGGGGCCGACGGAAAATTACTTGGCGTATAACTGTTGAACGGGAAGCGGAACAATAGAACAAGAAACTGCAGGAAATATCAGCTTTCAGTCCAGAATCGAGTACGATTCAAATGCTTTGTGGACGCCCTACGCTTCATAGTGGAGCTATAGGAATCCATCATCAACAATTTTACAACCTAATATAACTATCAAATGATTCAGACTTTGTCCACATGTCTCACAGCAATTAAGTAATTAATTAAATTTTACAAATCATTTTTATCAAGATATTGGACAGAAAACCTCAATTAATGCAATAATTACTGATAACACAGCTAATAAAAAGTAATAATCAGGTTGAATTTTATAAATCAATTGACTTTACCATTTGGCCTTCGCAGTCTCTTCTTAACTGATACTAAAATATTGACAAATGACCACAGGCACAGTGTACAGGAGCAAAACAGAAGGAAAAACACAAAAAATACAATAATTGCGGCAAAAATCTCGGACATTTCGTCAAAAATAAACAAAAATTCCCACACTGAATTTTGAAATCAATTGCTTGTTCGACACTGAATCACACAAAACTGAGACACACTTATCAGCATACTTTAGTGACTGTATTAACACAGCGATAAGAAAGCTATTATTTGTGAATATGAGAATAAAACCCAATGGGTAAGTTTTTTTTGGGGAAATGTTAAAAATTTTGAAGGTTAGTTGAATTCACGTTAGAAAAAGTATGAAGCTGGAGAGATTGCACACATTTCCTTCACTATTTAATTAATTTGAGAACTATTTATTTCATTTTTTGGCACGTTGCTTTAGTGGAGGAGGGGAGGGGAGGGGGGGGGGGGGGTGGGGAAGTTTGGTCGTGTTTTTGAACCAACCCAGCAAAAACACATTATACATAAATTCTTAAAAGCCGTTTTAATAAAGTTTAAAACTTCAGGGGGACAACAACATGATGGGCACATTTTTAATGTGAAAATTCGATCCACTTATAGACACCACGAGAAATTTCCAACCAAAATATTGATAAGAAATCGGTAAAATTAGCTGAAAACGGGTGTGAATTTTTACACAACATAATTTCTCATTATGTTGCTATCCCCTTTGTTAGAAACTATTAAATACATATATTTTTTAAAACTTACAAATTTTTTTAATGACATTTCAATTATTTTAAAATCACAATAGGTAGATCTTCCATAAATAATTTTTTTTCTCATAATTAACCCCCCCCCCCCCCATCCCTAAACCTCTCAATCTACCTTAGAGATTCTTGAACGAAATCAACGAATGACTGCTGGTGCTTACAGCTCATTGTATGACATTTATGCAAAGTTCAACTACCTATAATTATATAAATGCAACAAAATATTACCAGTTCCTTCCTTATCCGTAAATAATCCATACATCACATAAAGATATGCAAAAATGAAGCACAAATAAGCACCAATAGACACAATTAGACACAATAAAATAAATATTAAAATTACAAAAACCTCCATTGCTAAATAATGTTTGTCTACTCAGAACAACTAATACTTAATGGAACAGATAATCGTGTCTTTTAAGTCCCTTTTTGTATAAACATCGGGCACTGACTGTTTGCTTCTCATATGAATTTTTTTTGATGAAATTGAGAGCAATTTAAATCTTTTTTTTGTTGATAAATTTCTTTTTATATATGTTGGATAGGTCGGAAATTAATTTCAATGTCGTGCAGCCAATTGATAACAATGATCGCAAATTTAATGCTTATTTTGAGTATCAGCAGTTTTTGACTGAGATCAAAATTATGTAGAGAACAAATTGAAAAGAGATTAAAGCAGTGGTTCTCAATTTTTTTTGGTCCACGGCACATTAAATGATTTTTACGACCTTTTTGAAGTAATAACACATTAAAATATAGTGCCGATAAGACTAGTGTACCGCGGCACATAGTTTGAGAACCACTGGATTACATGTTTGATAATGATCTAGTTCAAAACCTATCTCATGAAGTTATCGCAGTTTTGTCACATCCAAGGGTATGCAAATGTTCTAAAATGATAGAATCTGATTATTCAGTTCTGCACTCTTAGTCATGGCAACATGAAGCTTGGAATTTTTGGGATCGAATTCTCCAATAATCAGAAAGGAACTTTAGAGGTCAATCATGTAGATCTCCTTATAACTGCTATATATGCATACTCATATAAAACAACTCGAGTTCGATGTGAATCGAACCCTCGACCTCAAAAGAGGCGATCTCTGACCAGTCAATCAGAGATCCCTGCCACTCGGCTACCGAGGTACTTATCTCACTTCGGCTACCCGTTGTACACACATAACCAGTTTCAACGCGAGCCCTATGCTCAGGCCTATCTCCTACAGATGTGCCCTTCGAGCCATATCCACAAATCACACTCAATAAATTATTATTTTTTTCTCACCTGCATTTAATTCTCTATATAACTTTGAACAATTGTACACAAGTATATAAATCACTAAGATAAATAGCAATATAATTAAAGCAAGTTCTCTAAAGTCAGTCATTTTATCCAAATTTCACAATATTCAACAACTTAAAATTCACTAAAATGTCAGACAATTAAAAAAAAATCATTTTTATAATCTAATGAAAATCTTTACAGCACAGCACTTCCATTCGGTGTGTATATCATAAGGTATGAATGTTTATTATTGATAAGACAAAAAAAAAAGCAAGTGTTCGTTTGAATTGCTGATGAGTAAGTTTGATAATTTTTTGAGAATATTGCATTGTTTTATTTCATATCGTTCTCAAAAAAGCCGTGGGAGAGTAAGCAATTGAAGAAATGAGAAGTCAAGACAGCGATACGAAGAATTGTAATGACATTTGATCTATTTTGTGGGGTTTTACAATTAAAAAGACATTGTAAGAGTTGATTTGTATTTTGTGGAAAATTTGCGATCTTGTGAAAATTATTAGAAAGGGGGGGGGGGGGGGCAAGAGGAGGAGGGGGGAGTGGGGGGGGGGGGGGTGTCTATCAATCCGGTTCGGTATTCTTCGAGAAACCCATCCAAAATTCATAAATTCTGCTCTTTGAAAAGATTGACCAAAAAACTCCTTTCGGCTCCTTCCCTCCCCTCTAAAACTTTGACGTAACAACTGAATGCCCCCCCCCCCTAATTCTTAAAAAGTTAAAATTCTATAAAAAAAATATCAAAGTCATCACATTTATTCATCAAAATTCACAATAATTTCAATTACATTGTATTAATGAGTATTTACATTTCTCTCAATTTCTTCCTCTCATTCTCCTCGATCTCATCTCTCAGTCACATCAACAACTCAATCTCACTCAGTACTTCTCCAATCCTCACCAACAATGTATCACAGCAGAGCAATATTTTTTTCATCATGCATGTATTTATTCTTCTTATCAATTAGCTCGTGTCTTACTATGACGAAAAGATTCCATGGTCAGTTCTATTCTCATACGTGACACAAACTTGACACTTGCACTGATTTGACGTCTTTGAATGTTTCCTCGTATGAAGGGGGTGAGCTGATGGATTCGTATGATGGTGGTTGGTCGTCATTAAGGTTGATTGAGTATTGTGGTCTGGTATTGTTGATGATGAAGACTTCTGGTGTGATGAGGGCTGAAAAGAGATTTTTGATGTTGAGTTTTGGTATATTTAATAAGGTTTGTGGAATAATAAGTCGAACTTCAGGCTTTAAATATGTTTCCAACCCTAGGTAGATTTATGATGTGCAGCTCCCCAAGTTCTTCAACTTGAGAAAGAAGTGAAAGAGGGTTAGGCTTAATCTTTTCTGATAGACACATGAATAGACGTCATTTACAATTGACCCCCATTTTATAATAGTTGAGTAAAATTACAACTATCTAGCACATTAAAATAACAATAATCAAGCACTTACGAGCACCATGAAAATCTAAATTTGACGACTCCATGTCCTCATCCTTACAAACACCTTTAAAGGTTTTTAATAAAATTCCGAGACAAACGACCAAGGTGAACAGATAAAACATTAAAGGACTATACTCATTCATTTTTAAATTTCACTTTTATTTAATTTTATATTTTTTATTTTTACAGAAAACACGCTTGTTCCTTACAAATAAATCACAAAAATTACTGTGAATTGATCTGAAGCAAATGAGAGACTGACTGATATGAATTGAAATAATAATTGTTCAAAAAATGCTTTAATTATAATAGCTAGGGATGTGTGTATGACGTATGATTATTATTAAGTTATAGTATCAAATTAGCATCATAGCTAGGAAAGCTGTTCAAAGGTGACCAAGTTCCTGTGTCTGTTCCTTTTCTTCAAAACAAGCATAAAGGTTTTTTAGAGGTGGGAAGTTTCAAAAATCCACAGTTGGACAGCCTTTTCTTAATACCAGTTTGGCTAGTAAGATGATTCATATTATAATTTTTTTTTATCAAGAGTCTGAGGTTAATTGTTTTGTAGATTCGTGGTGTTATATTTTCTGTGGCATAATTCGTTTTGTTATCAGGTGACTCATGTAGCTTGGGGAAGATAGGATTTTTGTGTCACGAACAGTGTTGCATTCTGGCTATTTGTCTAGATCAGATAAATTCTGAGACAGAAATTTCTTCATAAAGATCGATTCTACATGAAGATAGAAAATCTAATCTACACAAAGATTATTTCTACATAAAGATTCTGTCTACATAAAGATTCGATGTAGATGTCTACAATTCTACATTTTTTCCAGGTCTACATCAGAGTAGAATGTAGAATTGAAGACATCTACATCGAATCTTTATGTAGATAGAATCTTTATGTAGAAATAATCTTTGTATAGATTAGATTTTCTATCTTCATATAGAATCGATCTTTATGAAGAAAGTTTCTTAGCTAGACAAAAACTATTGAAGAATCTTCATTCTTCATCTAGTGTAGACATCTACATTTGCAACACTGGTCACGAATTGTATTTGAATATTCCCATTTAACTAAGATCATGACATATAGCAGTGTTGTCCAACCTTTTTGAGCAACGGTACACCTTAGGGGTAACCGATGACCGAAGTCGCTCATAGTATGCAGCTTGTGTCATTTCCAAAATATTTTTATGCCAGACCAGCGTGCCGCGGCACAGAGTTTGGACAACACTGACACATAGTGATCAAAAATATCAGCAAAGTCAAGAACAGATCATAACATAAATTGATCTTTCCCTGCAAAAGGTAAACATAGTTTTTCCAAGTTCAATGACAGCTCAATTGTATCAAAAACAAATGATTTTTATTCCCAGAAAAATTATAAACAACATTTTTATTTGCTTTCACACATTTAATTGCTTCATTTCGTTTATATTTGAGTAACAGATTTGATAAGGATTTGTTTGTACATTTAGTGATCCAGGTTGAATAAAGTATGCAGGATATGTTGGTGACTGATTCATTGCTGGCTGTAGATCCATAGTTTGTTGTTGAATCATTATTTGTTGTTGATTCATTGTTGGCGATTGATTAATTGTTGATGGCCCGGGGCTGTAGTCTTGCATTTCTGGTGCTGTTGGTTCAGGTGTGTTAAGCTTTTTCTTGACCATTAACATTAGATGGGCAACTAAAAATGAGGATATTAAGTTAAATTTAAATCAAATGCTGTGAGGACTGAGGGACGGTTTTGGATATATTGAAGTAATCTTTCAACTTGGTAGCGGTTTTGAGGCTTTAGTAATCTATACAGGAACGTAGTCGGGGGGAGGGGGATTTGTGGGACAAATCCCCAATCGTGTTGAGAAATTTCTTTATTTTGCTAGAGTTTTTATGAAAAACTCGAAAAAATCCCCCCCCCCCCCCTTAAAAGTTTTCCATACGAAAAAAAAATTGTCTCCCCCCTCTTAAAATTCCTGGGTATGCCCCTGAATCTATAGAAAGTAATATATAACTTACAGTTCCTATCCGACTGTTTTCTAATTTCTGCCAATCCAAAAAGTAAAATTCCTAAAACCATTAATTGCCCAAAAATTAAAACAACCAAAGTTAGTTCCTCAAAAAGTGTAAAGCCGAACATTTTAATTTTAAGCACAGATCCTTAATGTTTAAAATACTTTTGTGTACTGATTAAAGTTTCGCTCTCGTTTGCTCGATTTATAAATCTTTCACTTATTTATTCAGTCTTAATGTAGTGCCTTATCGCCTGATGTTTAGCGTATTACACCATCATATTTTTTTATTTTTCAATACACTTCACCTTTAGTGCAAAAACTACTTTTCTAGTTGGTGGTTAAACTTTAAATGCATTCTAGATTTCCAGTTTTTCTAAGTATCAATATGTACCAGGCGCGTAGCCAGGAGAGTCTTGTCCCCCTCTTAAGCGTTCTAGGTCGTGCTCTCGCTGCAGTTTAAAACGTTTAAGGGGGGACAAGACCCTCCTGGCTACACGCCTGATATGTGCCATTCAGAGTGCATCCTTGAGGTTACTTCAGAATATATTTATGTAATTTGATCTTTCCGAGGAATCGAGCAATAAATTGTTTATTATTAAAAACTCAGAAATGCTTTAAATTTTGCACAAATTTAAATTTGTTTTCTTATCAATTAAAAATAATTCATCTGTCTAAATCATTATTGAAGATATCCCCAGCTTCTGTGACTATTATTGCATTCTTATCAAGCTGTGTGTTGTTGTTGCCATTAATATTATTGTTGCTGTCGTTCATCGGTATTTTTAAATCTATTTCTACAACTCCTGATGTGTCAGTGTCTGAGTCAGACTCAAAATCAACAAGATCCACTGAAATTAAATTGGAAAGTATTATAATAAAATTGATTGTATTTTTTTTATTGTCAGGTCAAGGTTTGTGCTGAGTTATGCAATTACTCTTTCAAAATAAGATGTTATATTTTGCGATAGCGTGGATGTGAAATTGAGTAAACAAACTTTGATGCCAAATCGTGTTGATTTAATTTTAAAAAAATTTATTTGTTTTTCTGATTGGATGTTGATCGATTTTTCGATTATTCTGAAATTTGTTTTAAGGATCTGTTCATAAATGATGTCACAACATTGATCCTACATGAATTGATCTAGACCAGTGTTGTCCAAACTATGTCCAAACAACGAGCCGCATGGTATGTGCGACTTTGGTCCTGGCTTACTCTTAAAGTGTTCAAAAAGTTTGAACATTACAGACCAGTGGTGGACAACCTTTTATCAGCCACGGTACACCTTATTGGTGAGCCATACATAAAACTGTACACAACATACGGTTCGTGGGGTTTCCCAATTTTTTTTCTCTTGACACTAGTGTGCCGTTCCACATGGGTTGGGCATCACTGAATTCAAGACAGTTGAGTTCATTATATTGATATCGATGATCTTGGATTCTAAGGAATCAAACCGTATATAGGTGAATTTGCCAGTGTCAGATTAATGCCTTTGTGGCTGAGTGGTAAGGGCCACAGTTAAGGTAATAGGCCGGATATATTTAATCTTTACGAGTACATTAGTTCGATTCCCACTAGTGACTGATCTCCTAATCCATAGATTGTTGTCGATACGATAAGGATTAACAAAATGTGCACGACATTATAATCCTTAACCTCCATTGCACAACAACATTCCCCCCTTTAGTCATCAGCAAAATATAAAAATTCCCAATACTTACATTCGAACTTAGTCTTATTATCGCCACCCGAATAAAAGCAGTAACCTATGAGCTTAAAACAAATACACGGAACAGACACAAACATTAAAATGATTGCGATATAAGCAACAATCATCTCCATTCTCTAAGACTAAATTTCATCAGGAAGTGAAAGTTCGAAAAGCCTAAAATATAAATTATATTATTTTTAAAAGTGGAATTAAAATTAAAATGGAAGTAAATTACCTGAGTGAGTCTACAAAATTTGAAAAATAATTTTTGAATGATTAAGTTTGGGACTGGATGAGCATTAAGATTTTTTTGAGAATTTTTCAAGATCATTCTTGAGATTCTTTGATTTTTGAGAGTCACGACAATATTTTTAATGCTAGTTCACATTTTTGAAACTAGGGTTGTGTCCTTATCCTCATTGTAAGTCATAAATAATTTCTAAATTAATTTACAAATCAAATTCACCACCATCTGCAGACTAATCACCCTCAATTGAGAACAATATCGCTTCCTGTCCATGAATAATTCAATCAACACCAAACTTGAATGAGCAAAAATTTCATTAACTTCTCTTGATTCCAGAAATAAAAAAAATTATTCTCTTTATTAAAAAATTCTCAAATCGGTCACGGTAAATTGTCGTCAAGTGTTTTGAGTTCATCTCATAAAATTTTTTATGTCTTTTCTCATTTTTCATCTGGTTTGTACAAATTATTTTATATTAGCTAGTACTAACATGACAATGATGATGATCATGATACGCAAGTAAATATACAGTTAGGGGAAGAAACTTCATAAATCGCTATGAAATTGCTAATAAAATTATGGATGTGGTGCTCATTCATGTGGAAAGTCATTAATTTTAAAGGATTTTTTATAAGGTGATTTTATATTGAAAATGTGTGATTCAGTGTTTTTGCTTTTTAATTTTGTTGTGGACCTCTTTAGAGCATCAATCAAGGTCCAGGGTCTGGACAGAGTTGAATCTTGGATATCGACTTAAGTTAAGCTGATTCATAGAACAAGATAATAAAAATCGAGGGTCTGGACAGAGTAGAATCTTGGATATCGACCCATTAATAAATGAATCTGTAAATGCAAGGTAAGGCCAAGTCGGGGAAATGGCATGAGTAGCCTAAAAGGTAGAGCGTAGGCTTTACGTTCCAAAGGTTCTGGGTTCAATTCCAGGCCAAGTCAAGTTTAAGAAGCTCTTTTTCCATTTCACAGTTCTAGTTGCGAAGCTCGGTTCGTGTCTTGGTTGTGGTTTTCAGGTATTCAGCACATAACGTGTCTCTTTTGCTTACATCTGGTCTTTAGACGTACTCGTATCTTTGCAATGTGCAGAGCTTGCAAGTGGTTTGGATTCCACCATAAACTGTAGGTCTAAAGCGTGTAGTACAGAGGATTCTGTTCTAATTTAAATCGCAGTGCTCTTCCATGATTTTAGGTAAGGTCATCTGTAGTCAAGTAAAAATTCAAGTAAAAATTCAAGCAAAAAGTCAAGTAAAAAGTCAAGTAAAAAGTCAAGTAAAAGTCAAGTAAAAGTCAAGTAAAAGTCAAGTAAAAAGTCAAGTAAAAAGTAGATAAGCGACTTAATGAAATCTTCAATGGTTTGGAAGTGGGTTCGATTCCTAGAAAAGATCAATCTCTCAATCAATTACATTGAGTGCTGTCGATATGATAAGGACTCGAACAGTGCTCCGTTCCTTATTAGAATTTAAATACAACAACTACAATGAGTCCTTAAGTGACTAGCTTCACAAACAATATTTAATCAACAAAAGCCTGTCAATTACAAATCCCCTACCCAAAACCATCATAATCAACATCATTTTCCATACTCATCAATATCATTACTTCTCACACTTACTATTTATTACAACCTATTTGTATATCCACAAAAATAAACAATTTCTCAAAAGAAACAAAGTTAAAAATCCAAAAAGTAAATAAATAAAGCAACAACAATTCACATTAAAAATACACAAATAAAAAAAAGAGGCAAAAGCACTAAAAAAATTAAATGCATTTAAAGGTTAACAGTGAGAAAATGAACAGCAGCAGCTGCAAATGTTCAAATAAATATAATTCTTTTGAACAATCGTTTCGGTAGGCTAATGACTTTCACAGAGTAAGCATAATAATAATAATGAAAAGATCTAACTTTAATAGGTTTTTGATGGGTTATTAGATAGATTCAAAAAGGATATGATCGGAAATTGATAGTTTGATTGAACTACACAATTTATGTTGTATCGCAACACCTTTTTGTGTATTGTCGAATAATAAAAAAAGGATAACCGAAAGGTCTTTACATGCCGCATCATCAGATATGTATAAAAAAATTAATTTATTTCTCACTCTCGGCGCCTTTCAAACATTCCCGAATTTCTTTTACTTTTTTTTGAACCCTTTTATACCGTGTTTCATGAAAATTACATCATGCTTATCGATTATGATCTTTTTGACCTCACCATGCGCATGTAAGGATGAAATATTGTTTAAGGCATCAATTGCATTATTTTTAAGCACATTGGCGCCATAATTATTTTTTTGTGAATATGATAAAGTCATGCTTTGTTGAATGTTTTTATTTTTTATTTTGGAATAATAATTTGATGTAGGTAAAGTGAATTTATTTTTTGGGTGATTTAAAATTTTAAAAAATTCAAATTTTTATAAGGTTCTCTGGATTTTTTGAAGGTGTGGTTAAAAAGCAAAGTTTTTGATGTAGGAATTTGTTTCTACAGAGTTTTAATGGAGAGGAGCTCATTTCAGCTCATAATTTTATCAATTCTTTAAACATTAAGTGATTGCTAATGGCTGATACAATAGATTCTATCATCGATCAGGATTGCAGTGCCTCCGGCTTGTCGCAACGTGTAGTAACACATCGCTGGGCTGGAACCCTCTCACATTATTAATGGCTGATAGCTTGTAACGGCCACATATTATTATTAGCTTTAATGAACCTTTGCCAATGCAGATTAATTCTAATCCAGAGATGCCCTTTTGGGTGATTCCCAGCTAATGGGAGTTTAACGAGTGAAGATGCGACAAACCGCTGCACTCAAACTTATGCCTACAGTTTATAGTGGGATCAGAACCACTCATTTGACGACATTACTGCTTGTAGCCAACAAAGTAAGGATGTGAGCTTCATTTCCAGTACAATGGTTCGAAAAAAGGACAAATGAAAAATTTCTCATGCCGAGTCTCGAACCCATGATCGCTGTTTCGATATTGCAGTAATTATGTACCGAAGTTCTAAACCATTTCGCTATCGATCCACTTCAGCTCACAGGCTGAAAGATAACCTAATTTGAAGGTAATGAACTACCGAAGTATATAAATACATGCAATATTGAGTTGTAAGAGTTCAAAGAAGCTGAGGCAACGCAGAATTATATCAGCTTTGCAATGGAACTGATATCGTACGACGAATCAAAGTCAACAGGCTCCGTTGGGCTGGACATGTCGATAGGAGACCTGTTGAAACTCCCATTAATAAAGTCGTTGAGAATGTTTTTATTAATGGCAAAAGATAACGCAGACGTCCCAAGAACTTTTGGAAAGAAGTTTTTGACAAAGACAGTATTGCATTTGGTATTGGTAATTGGTAAACGGTAGCCAGTGATAAAGCCAGCTACAGGCATCATCTGAAGGAGGCCATCGATCACAATTGATCTGTACGATCAGCGAAGTAAGTAAGTAAAGTAAGTAAGAGTTCAAAAAAGCTAGTTCAATAAATCTACAAAAATTACAGCTAACTCAATTTCACAAAATGAGCACCTTACAAAATTCATTAATTACTTTTGCTATTCCAACAGTTCATGACCATTCAGTTCAAAAATATCCATGACAAAATAATTTCCACGTGTCTCGTTTCCTTCCAAAAAAAAAGAGAACAGTTACTTCCTAATCCATTATATCAACCGAAAATAGAAGCTTCAAAAGTTTGTTTGCCCATTCATCATTTCACCATTAGGAATTTTTTAATTAAACCATATCTTATTAGAATTTATTCATTTTTTTTCTCTTTTGTATTGTAATGCTGACCATTTTGAGGGGAAATTGAAGAAGAGTTGAAATGAAAAAGGCCGCACTGGGCAGAACAAATATTTAAATTACGACTGTTCGATGAATGAATTTTTTTTACATAAAAAAAATATTTTCTCAAATTAGAGCGTTTGAATTTTTTTTTGTGTACACGCCGAGTGAAGTTAATTTGTTAATTTTACAAATCAATTTTTTTTTCTTCTGTAACTTTCATTCATGACTCCTTGAATGAGTAATGATGATGATAATAATTATTTTGGACACAAGAAAGAACATGCCGATGGACCATTAAAAATAAACGATTCAATCAAATAAAATGAGAAAAAAAAAAAGGTTTAAGAGTAAATAAAATATTCATGTGAGAGATTCTTCATTTCCTCTTGACTTTGCTGCTTATTTGTTTACTCGTTCATTTATTGTTGGATTTAAAAAGAAAATAAACTTTTCGGATTGGAGGTTTTTTTGTGAATGAAATGAGATTTTGTGAGATACGTGGTAATTAATTTTTAAATAGGAAGTTGTGGTTAAGTTTTTTTGAAATTTTTTTGGCGAAATTTTAAGTAAGTTCATATTTATGCTAAACTTTAATTGTTAGACATGTTTTGGATCAAAATTGATAATTTACTTAGCAGGTTTGGCATTGTTTCTAGCTGTTTTATTGTACTGGAATATATAGTATATTTGTATACTAAAATAGTATATTTGTTTACTAAAACAGTATCTTTGTATACCAATATAGTAAAATTGTACACAAATAAAGCAAAGGCAACAAAATATTCTAAGATACTAAAATAGTATATTAGTATACTAAAATAGTATATTTGTATACTAATATAGTATATTTGTATACTAATATAGTATCTTTGTATACTAATATAGTATTTTTGTATACCAATATAATAAAATTGTATACAGAAAGAGCAGATATAAGAAAATATTCTAGGATACTAAAATAGTATACTGGTATACTAAATTAGTACATTTGAATACTAAAATAGTAAATTTATATACTGATATAGCAAAATTGTATACAAATAAAGGTATTGATGCATACTGGGATACTAAAATAGTATACTAGTATACTAAATTATTATTCTGAATACTAATCAAATATATTTTCTTACAAACTGTGTTCTTAAAAGTTCTTGAAAGACTCCAAAACTAATGCATTATATTATATTAGTATTGTAAACTAGCGC